GCTACAGCCCACTATATGTGGAGTCACTCTGGAAATTAGGTTTATTCACTGGTGCCAGGAATTTGCGGACAAGTTCTCCAAACTTGTCCTCATATTTCTGACACCAGTGTCTGGCAGTTTGTGCTCTGGCTGACAAGTTATACAAATTTTTTTGCCAGAGCACAATTTTTGAGGGCATTCTCTCCAAAAGATGTCCATAGAACTCATTTGGATGAGTTTTGGACATTGTTTGGAGAATTTCTTGCTCAGCCCAGTGAGCAAGGAAATGTCTGTTTTGGATCCAAAACTTATCCAAAGCAACTTATCCAAGAATCTTGCCAAAAACGGACAAGTTTTGGACAAGCTGCTTTGGATAAGTTTTGGATAAAAATCGGACAATATGTCTGATTTTGATCCAAAAGTTATCCAACAGGCAACTGCTTTTTGGATCAAAAGCAGACAAGTATTGGAGGGATCTGGGACATCTTTTTTTTTATGAAAATTGGGCAATATGTCCGATTTCTATTCAGAAGATGTGATTCAATCAGGACCACTTTTTTTCAAAATGTTATTTTTTTTACCAAATTTAGGGGAATTTGGGAAAATATTTTCTTCCCCACAGGATTTTGGCGCATTATTTTTAGGATTTGATTTCTTTCTTTACCCTTCACAATTTACTCCATTCATGAATAGGTTGTACTGAGCATCTTTCCTAAAAATCTTATTTAATTATCCTGAAAATATATTCTACTTATTTATTCTAGTTATATTTTATTTATATAGCATAATTATCCTACCTATGTTCAGGTCTTCTCTACTGCTAATTCCTTACCCATTGTAGATCCTCTCAGGTTAATTGTTACCTGCAGGGATGCTAGCACCATTGAAGAATTGCTGACATAAATGGGATTCAAACCCAGGGGCTTCTGCATGAAAGTCCAACCCCTTAGTCAGACAGCTACAGCCCACTGCACAGTGCCCAATCTCATTTATGCCCTTTTCTTCCAACAGCTCTGGCAGACAGGTTTTTGTGGACAAGTTTGGAGAACTTGTCTGCCAGTTTCTGGTGCCAATGTGAGGCAGACAAGTTCTCCAAAACTTGTCCGCATATCATCCAAAATTTGTGGACAAGTTTGGAGAACTTGTCTGCCTGTTTCTGGCACCAGTGTCTGGCAGACAAGTTCTCCAAAACTTGCCCAAAAATTTTGGATGATATGCGGACAAGTTCTCCAAAAAATGTAAAAAAATCATCCAAATGAGTTTCAAAAATGTCCCTGGAACTCATTCGGATGATTTTCAGACATTTGTGGAGAACTTTGTGCTCACTGGGAAGTTCAATTTTAAGGGCATCCTATTTGAAATTGTCACATATTTATGTCCTTCATCTTTTCCTGTGATCAATAGAATAAAAGGGTACCAGAATCCAATGTAAGGGGGTTTGAGGGAAAGTCTTGAGGTTTTCAATGCATGTCATTGATAATTGAATTCAGACAAAGACTTGAACCATTTTGACTCCAGGAGGTTCCATGGTTGTCCATATGAATACCCTTTAGTTAGACAGAGGTCTCACCAGTGCTTGTACCTCATGCAAGAGTGACATCTATGCAAAGTCACAGAAGAGGATTGACCCCTGCTTTGCTCTGAAATGTTGCATATGCATGAAGTAAAATTCCTATTAATTTTGAGGGTTATTTATGAAAGAACAAATCAACATGATAAGAAAAATCAATTGACTGAACTATAGCAGTGTTTTCAGGGATCTGTGGTTTGTTATTTGATAATTCAAGGTAATATTAACATTTTTCTGCACAAATTGGTTTCTTGGGAACCAATAATGGGTTTCACATTATTCCTTGAGGGAAAATGTGACCCACCTTATGATTGTTTCACCCATGTTGGGGATTGAGTTGGGCACCTGTAAATATTAATTATAATAATTCCCCGCTGCACTGCTGCATCCCATAAACTGGTCCTTCGCATCAGCCAAGCCACCAGCACCAAAAAACGAGTCCTGAAGGAATGTTAGGACAATGTACAGCATTGTCTTCAATTCCAACAACATCAGCCAATCAGAGGCCAATATTTTGCCCAAAAGGAAAACCACTTTTTCTCCTCTTTCTTCTGCCTCCAAAAACATCTTACCTAATAAAGTTACTTGCGTTTGTCGGTGATTCCGTCCCGAGTTACAGATAGGGAGGAGTGAAAAGGGGGATAGAAGGAGGGCTATTCGGGGTGGGTGTTCTTGTCGTCCGCCCTTAGTGCCCTTGGGCGTAAAAGTCCAGTTTTCCCTATGGCAGTCTAGTGTAAGCATAGCTGTGCGCCGTAGCACGGGCGGTAAGGTGGAGTGAAGCCCAGTGCACCGCCATGCAAGACCCCGGTTCAATCCCAGCCCCCATCAATATTTTTTCAACGTCGTATCCTATTTTCAATCATATCTTGCTGAATTTTAAAGTTATTTCAAAGAAAATAAAACCAAAATTTGTAGAATTTCATTCCACATTCAACTAGGATTTTAAAATTGAAATTTCTCCATAAAATAAATTTTTATGATGAGTTAAAACTTCGGAAAATTTTCGTTTCCTGACTTTTTTACTTTAAAAATATGTTAAAAAATCAATCTTTGACAAAACTCAAAATTTCTTTCAACGTTTGATTTGTGATAAAGTTTGCAACATTTTCTTTTTTTTAATGTTTAAAATGGTTGAAATTTGACAAAAATACAGTAGAAAATGCAAAAAGTTTTTCAAAAATCGTGAAAACATAATTTTACTTCTTGAATTTTCATATACAAAGTTTTCAAACTATTTCAATTGAAGAACCATCTAAATTCTTGGAACATCAATGTCCTTATCAGCCATCTAAAATCTTTTGAGTTGATCAAGTATTGCAGAAATTACAATGAGCGAAAGTAAAAAATTGAGACTTTTGGAAAATTTTGTTTCCCATTTCTTCAAGTTTAAAAATTTATTGTAGATGATCAAATGCACCAAATGAAAACTTTTTGAGTTCAGTGCTTGCGTCATGAAGCTCCATACACTTTTGACTTTCAAATTTAAAAATCACAAAAATTGACAAAGTTATGATCAAAACATACACAAACATTTTCCAAAAATAGGAAAAATTGGGAAAAACATTTTCATAAAATTGAATGAAATCAATGGCATTTTCAGAATAAATTATTTAAAAATATGAAAATTTTTAGAACACTAGCAGGAATTTATCTTGGAAAAAATTGTTAAATTTCTCAGAACCCAAAGAATGAAGATGTGCTGAAAGTGGAAATAAAACATTTTGTTTCCCATTTTTTCAAGTTTCAGAATTTATTCAGGATTATCTAAAGATCTAATCAAATCTTTTCAATTCATTATATGAGTCATGAAGTCCATCTCCTGCAATTTAGTGCTGCAAATTCTAAAAAATCTTGAAAATTGACAAAGTTCTGCCTGAAAAATGCATAAACGTTTTTCAAAATCAGGAAAACTCTGGCAGTATTTATAAAATTAATTGTAATAACCATAATTTTCATCATATATGCTTTAAAAATGCAAAAAGCCATAGAAAAAACAGATGCATGCAGCCTTCAATAACATTTTTAAATTCTACAAACTGAAAAAATTAGGATAACCTAAATTTGAAAATTCCCATTTATTTAATTTCTAAATTTTGCTCATCCAACTTTTTCCAGTTTGCAGAATTCAAAAATTTCCCTCAAGAATGCATGCACAGAAGTGTTTTACAAAATTTCATATTTGTTAATCAATAAGTTCTTGAAATCCAAAAATTTGCAAATTGTCTGAGTTAAAATCAGAAAGTCAAAACTATTTGGAAATGGGGAATTGTAGGAGAAACAAATTCCAAAGTATATGAAAACAATTGTAGAATCTCTTTGCAAGAAGTTGAGAAAGTTTTGAGGCTATACAAATTTCCAATCAGCTGAATATGTTAGAATTTTACTACCTTTTCATTGATAATTTCCACTCTGAGTGGTTGTTTTCAACTCAAGATAAATGTTGATGAGCAAATCTTTCAAGAGCATGTGTCTGTACTGATACACTTAATAATACTTGGCAGTGAAAAATCTATGTGATGGGCCTGAAGGGAACTTCAGCAATTACATGAAAATTTTTGCTGCAGTTTTTGGGTTATAGCAAGGTTTACTCAATTACCAGAGGCACACTTCTTAAAATTTGAAGAGGTTTCCTAATCAGGGGGAAAAATGTGATGTCAGGTGATCAACACAGACCATCACAAGGTAACATTCTGTGGTAGGTTTTCATAAAATAGGTTATGTAGGGTAGTTTTTTCGGTGTTTTTTTTTTTTTGTGTAGCCATTGCCCATTGACTGGGCACACAACATGTGATGTGCTCTTACACAGAAGATGCAATAGTTTGGAAATTTCCAGGTTCTTTATTTGGGCATTTTTATGAAAGATCACTGAGTGCAGTGGGAAAGCATGGCATGGGACTTTGTGGTCTTGGGACAAAAACAAATAAAAAAAATGGAATTGCTCATGTGCATCAGGTATGCATTGAGCAGAGGCAGGGCACCATGCATGAGATCTAGGGTATAACACAAATTAAAAACTCTCTTACTCCTGTGCCAGTTGTGACCTGATGGCTCAAAACTGCTGCATTGAACAAAAGGGGAAAATTACAGATGAATTGTCAACATATAACCAGCTGTAAGCATCATAGAAATCTTGAAACTCTTTCCAGAATTTGGACCATGATGTGTAAGTGTGGCTGTGCACCCCCTTTTTCAAAGATATTGTACCCTGATTTACAGTGACTTTTTCAAATATTTGTAAAATTCCAAACATGATGCCCAGGTGTGGCTGGGCACCCCCAGCTTGTCCAAACTAAAGCTAGATACATTTTAATCAGAGTTTCATACTTTCAGCACAAAAAGGCTATCATTTATGCTTTCGAAGGTTTTTAAATTACGAACAAGTTGGGTTTTCCCATATTGTGCCAATCAGCAAAATTTTTGATGAACCACACACACACACACACACACACAATCAAGACAAAAACTTTTCCTCCTGAGAATAACAAGGGAAAATTAGTTTGTCATGACCCATTTTTTACATTGTCCCAACAAATTATAACAGCTGGGACCAAGAAAAAGAATGCATAACAACGTTTGCCATGACAGAATTTCACTGCACTGTATATTGTTCATGAGGGAATTCAGAAATAAAAAATTATGTTTTGACATTGGTAGGCACTTGTCTTGAAGAATTTCTACTTCTCAAGGTCAAATATATATACTGTACTGTATAAACAAGTGTATCTCTCTCACCCCCAGACCAGGCCCACATTTGAAAGCGACATCTGTAGAAAACTTCCCATCCTTGGCTGATGTTGGGCACTTGGACCCATCAGTGTAAGTTAAATGCACTTGGCCATCCACATCCACCCAAGGGCCAGTCTGGAACTTGCCCAACACCTGCACATCTGTGTAGTTGGATGCTGTTGCATGGCCTCTACAGGCTGCTGCAGCTGGATCACAGTCCAAACCTGGAACAGGTACCAGTGATCTGTAAAAAAATTGAATACAGTAAAATCTTGTTACAATGAACTCCCAGGAATCTGACCAAAAAAATTCCTTATGCAAGGATTGGTTCATAAGTTCTGAGACTTTTTGAAATAGATTCAACAGATTTCCAGCAATTCCAATTTTTTTTCTTACTCACACATAACCCATTCATTTGGCAACACTTCAGTGCTGTTCAACATACTCTCTGCTGATTTCAATGCATTTTTTTCATGCAATAAATCAAATGATCAAAACAGTGCCAAAAAATAGAGTTCTGTTAGTTAATTAAGCTGCTCTTTGATGGCGGAAGTGAGACTGTTCCTATCCTCAAAATCAATCCCTTTCAGGTCGTTCTTCACTGTTGAGAACTGCCAGAAGTCACAGGGTGCCCAATTAACCAACAGAACTCGATTTTTGGAAAAAAAAATGTATTGAAATTGGCGGAGAGTATGTTGAACAGCCTCTGAAGTGTTGCCAAATGAAGGGGTCTACATGCGAGTAAAATTAACTTTTTTTTAATCGCTGAAACTCCGTTGGATATACAGTATTAAAAAAAATCAAAAATTATGAACCAACCCTCGTAATTCAGGTTCGTGGTTCTAAAAACATTTATGGGCGTACACTGAAAATAATTGCAATTAGTAGAATCTTACCTGCAAACCGCGAGGAAATATTCCCAAGGATTTCTGTCGTGAGGTGCATGTCCGTGCACAGCAGCAGAACTCGCGATGAACTTGTAGTTGCTCAGACTGCTCATCAACGGTGAGAAGTCGACCACGGAATCATTCGTCCTCACCATACATTTCCCTCTCTGCAATATAATGAAACATACATTTTTCTCTCACACTTGAACTCTTTGCTTTGGTTTGTGAAAATGGTGGAGAGCTTCTGCTTGCATCATAAACTTGACCAAAAATAAATAAAAAACTTTGAACTTGATCTAACCTCATGCAAACTGATTAGAATTCAAATTAAATTTTTTTTTTCAAAGCAACTTAAACTGAAATAAGCTAACTCAAAAATGAACCCAATCTCACATAAATAACTCTATCCAACACAAACTGTCCAGGAGAGAATTCACTGAGAAGAACACAGTGAAGGTTTTCCTCTTTTCTGAACACAACCAACATTTCAAGGGATCATTATCTCTTTTCATTCTTTATTAATCTTTACATTTTTTATACATTTGTTTTCATTTGTGCACAAATTCAATTGATTCACTTGTATTGTGTTTTCAGCAGCATCATTGGTGAATTGTGTCATTTCTTTGCCATCAAATTACACAATAAATGTTTCTGAAAATAAGGAACATATATTTGAGGTGTCCTCTTATGGATATATGTTCTTGCCCACAAAACTGCTGATTGCCGGTGCTTGATTTCTTCCACTGCATCTTTATGATCCTTTCTTTAGTTGAGTTTCATTATTGCCCAACACAAACTACAGTAATCCAGGCTGGTATAAATTTACATGAAGTGAAATAAGCTAACATACACCAGCATGACCTAAGTTAGTCTGGCATGTTTTAACGTAGTCTCACATGAACAAACATTATCTGGAAAAAACTAAATACTGTAGTTCAGCTGGAATAACCTCACCTGAAGGGAAATAATGGGATGTACACTGGTCTAGTTGGAAATCCCTTAATCTAACCAAAACAAGTGCATAAATTTAACGCAATAAAATGAATAATTCATGAAAAATGATAATAATTCATGATTAATAATTCGAGTTGAACCAACTAGAATTTAAAGTTAACCAACCAGATTCAAGCGACACCTACGTAAAATAAAAAGAAAACACGCAGTTTGGGACGCCGGTAGCTCAAGGAACCAAAACTCAAGCATTCAAAGCATAAATTAATCTTGAATGTAAAAATGTTAAATAAGTGGATTAATTCACGTGAATTGACCTCAATGGCGTTGACGAAAGCAGATTCCAAAGAATTGTTCTTCCCAAATGGACACGCGTGCGACGTTTTCCACTCAAACTCAAACTTGCAGTCCGAGCTGAGACCCAGGAAAGTGGGTCTCGCTTTGCTTTCCTTCTTGCTTTCGGCGCATATGAACTTGATTCGGGTTGCAAGGCGCCGGGACGCCATTTTGGGGCACTTGTCTCCACCCACGTAGTTGAGTTCTAGGCTGTGATCTGACCTCAGCTCCAACATGGGTGTGAACCAACCCCCGTTGACATACGGCCCTGTTTTGCTCGATTTCACGCAACAGCCTGCAAAAAATCAAAGCAATTGACCAACTTTCCAATTCAGCAGGCAAAAATATGTATGGGAATCTTCTGGCAGAAGCCTTTCAAAGATCCAAGCTGAAGTTAATGGGGCCATGAATTCTTGGGCAAAATATATTTTAAAATCACTGAAGAAAGATGAGTATGATGATCTGTGTTTTCCCTTGCTATTACTGCAACAAGGCCAAGAGCAACTTTATCCTTTATAAGTCCAAATTATAATGAACAGCCTTCTCTTGATCCATCTTGACCAAGTCAATAACAAAGATAGTGCTGGAAAATATAAAGAAAATACTATAATAAACATGAAAAATAATAAATTAAAATGAAGATGAAAATGTAAACCTCGTCTCAAAATTTCCCAGTCTCAAATTACCCATATACAGTACATCCAGCTCACTGATGCAAAAGCAAGTCAACTCACCAACACCAGACCAACAAGTAGCAGATCCCATTTCTGCAAACGCAGTGTTGCAAATGGACAAATTAAATTTGTAGTCCTCGGCCTCGACTTTGACCTGTTTCGGCAGGGGATTCAAATCGTACTTTTGACCCGACGCGGGGTCCTTCAACCGGCAATCATAGCCTCGGGCCACGACCTTGGACTCTTCTTTCGGAAGACCCGGGATGTTGTCCGGAATGTACTTGTCCCCGCCATCGTCTAGGTTCACGTCGATGGGTTGCAAAACTGGGCAAGCCGCACTCGTGCGCCACAGGATCCGCCACATGCACGGGTCGTTGTTTGGATGCTTCACCAGCACCGGTTTGCCAACCTATGATAAAATTGCAAACGGAAATGTAAAAAAAAAATGTGATTCAAGTTTCTGTAGAGAATTTCTCAAAACGTAAGACATAATGTGGCAGAATAATCAGACAACTTACCATACACCGCCATGCACGTCAAAACATCCAAAACAATCTAGAATATTCATTTTGGACTGCCGTTAGATGGCAGCCACGTTAATTGCATACTCCAGATTTTATTCTGTGCCTTTCAAGAGTTTCAACCAATCAGGTGCAGCAGCACAGATTCTCAGGGAGAAGAATTCCCAGACAGTCTGTCTTGAACTTTTAAGCCATTAACATTGATATGTGATTCTCTGTGAAATTACCTGTGTTTTGTGAAACCTGTTTTATCTTCTGGGGAAAAGTGAAATACATTTATCTTTTTTGGGATTTCCTAATGAAATCCTCAGCTGCTCCCCACAGCTGAATGATGTGTTTCCTTTTGGAATGGATCCTCTTCTTGCCTGCTTTTGTAATCTTCCATTACACGTTACTTGAAGAAAATAAGGCTTCACATAATTATGTTTCTAGTCAAACAAATGAAAAGTCTATTGAATAATTTAAGGAATTCTCTGAAAATTTGGACCAAAAGTTATTTTTCCCTTTTATAGCATCAGTAAAAAAAAATGCAGATACAGTACTTCATAAATAATTTACGCGTGATGACAGTTTGTAAATGGGATTTCGAAGAAAACTACGTCAAATTGAGGACGAAATCCTATTCAAGTTTGAGAAATTTCGTGGAGACAAAAATTAGACCTACAGAATTTATTTAAAATTCATACAAACGTTAAGTTTATGGGATCATTTCAGAGTTCTTGAAAAAACTTGGAGCGAAGTGATTATCTCCTTTTTAACGGCATCAGTAAAAAAAAGTTTTACATGAGTAATTTTTTATAGACATGTTGAAACCAGAATCCTCCAGGAAAAATCCACATTCAACTCTTAGTACAGTAACAGAAAAATGGAAATTCACCGGAATCTTCGGATCGCAGAGAAACAACATGGATAATTCGTGGTAGGCAACAGCGGATCCTGCGACTTCACAAACATCTCCGTGTTTGTAAGTCAGAATGTTGGACTGGTTCTTCGGAAAAGTCTTCAACTGCACATTATCCGCATCTTGTCTTCCTAGACTGACGTACCTGAAATGTTGCATTAACAAAAAAAATGAAAAGAAAATTAGCTCAAACACTCGTACGGAATCATTCCACAAGTTCATGAATACTCTAAACCTCATCAAAAATAAGCAAGACAAACACCTTTTGCAAAAAGAATTTTTTCCTAACATTACATATAGTTCATAGAATACTAAAGAAATAACCCTAAAATATTTTCATCGAAAAACAACCGTTCCACACAGATTACTTATATTATTTTATTATTTTCTTACTTCATTTAATCACATTGAATCCCACGTATTGTGCGCGTCGATTATAAATCATTTATCAACAATTCGTCTTTTTTCAGCAATAATTATATGTACATAAAAAAAACAGAAAATTTCAATTTCTAAAAATGACGCTCTTTCAAAAAAAAAGGACGCATTAAATTATGAAAATTACCACGTTTCTGTAACTCACAAAGGAAAAAAAATAATCACGTATAAATTCAAAAAATTTTCTTTTGGACATCTCGCCTTCAGAAGGTTTAGAAAACACTCTGTCTCAAGCCAAGTTTTCCTCATTCAGATAAAATTTTGCCCGACACGATTCGCGATTCCTAAAAAAGAAGAGAGTTGATCCAATTCCTAGTAGAAAATCTCGTAATAAAAAATTTCTCTGAAGTCCCCACAAGTTTCTTGTAACGAGATTTTACTGTAAACACAACAAACCTTCGCATCCCACTCTTGTCATCTTCCACAACCAAACACGCCCCGGAATCGTAACTGCACCCACTGCCACTCCTGCCGCCTCTGGCCAATTTGGCACACACGTCCAAGAGAATCGTTTGCGATTTCCCAGCCGGGATTTCGTAATTCCTCCCATTCATGGCCAACTTGGTGAAATCAATAATATTCGTCGTCGTGGATTTGCACACGGGCGACACTTCGAAACCATGGCCGCCGCCGGGACACGCGAGTTTCGTACGCCACAAAATATGCATGGTGCAGGACGCAAACATGAGGACCTCTGGAGACGCTGATGATGTGGTTTCAGATGACGTCGTGGAGTCTTCTTCGCAGGCAAAGATGATGAGGGACTGGGTTCCTCTCGGGCAGTCCTTGGTGGGTTCTCCGCCAGTGTACTTGAGACTGAGCGACCCTTCTTCGAATACTATTGCGCTGGAAGCGTTTCCTATATGGGAACAAAAGGGGGGTTAGTTTTTTTTTTATTACAACAAAATCTCATCACAAGAAAGCCATGGGACCAGTAAAATAGCTTCGTTAGAACGAAAAATTAATTATAGAGGAACTCTTTCAACATTGGAGCTATTGGGCAGGGACCTAAAGAGATGAGTTCATTTGTAATCGATTATTTGCGAAATTCGTTGTAACGAGATTCTCTGCATAATTTTTCGTCAAGTCTTGTTGCAGCCTAAAAATATAGAATTTAACCCAATTTTCCATAATTTCAAACACAAGTGGGTACAAAAAATTCATTGCTATTCTAATTTTTTAAATCAAAATATTTCTTTTGTCTAAAAACCAAATTGCAAAAGTGCTCGCGCTGCATGAGCTTTTTTTTCTGGGTTGTCAACTGAACTGCAATTGTGTTTCAAGCATGTCAACACACTCCAAATTTTATATACAATCCCCATTTCAAGTGTTCATAGTCTGTACAGATATTCTAATGTTAAGACTGCTGTTGCCGGTTTAAGAATGAATTTATGGCTTGAAAATACCAAAGAAAAAAAATGTTAGAAGACTGTTTGACTAAACTAAGTTTGGCAATGGTGGTTACAAATATACTGTATGTACTTATATTTTGTAAGAGAAGCCCTTACTTTGCATTGCAACCTGGGAATATACAAAAATATGGCTGTCTCTGGCAACACAAATGTTGGTTAGAAAAATAATCCAGCCTTTTAAAGCCTAACATTGTGGGACCACTTTTTGTAAGAGAAGCCCTTACTTTGCATTGCAACCTGGGAATATACAAAAATATGGCTGTCTCTGGCAACACAAATGTTGGTTAGAAAAATAATCCAGCCTTTTAAAGCCTAACATTGTGGGACCACCAAAAAAATCAAGGTAGGGAGGTTTTGAGTTAGAGAAATAGGTATTGGGGAAAATAAAGAAGAATCAAAGGAAATTGTATATGATGATATTCTGGGCCTTCAACTGTTTCTTTAATGAGTTGACAGCAGGCTGAATTTGGAGCCAAGTGTTCATTTGCTCAATCAGTCTTTAAGCACTTTAAATTACATTCTTATTGCCTTTCTCATTCCTGTGTCAATTAAATGAAGAGCCTCCAGAAAATTTGAGTTATGGAGATTTGAGGGAGAAAAGCCTTCAAGTTTTCAATTCATTGTTTCTAAAGAAAATTCAGAGAGAAACTTTCAAAAAAAAAAATTTGGCACAGTGAGGTATACAACTTCTAAAGTTTTCCCTTCAGTATTTTTTCAAGTACTGTATTGTATTTTCAACAGTACTTTGTAGAACAAGTTTTACAGTATTTTCAACACCCATCAGACAGTTCAACCCAAAATCACATGTTCAATTCTTTAATGAAGCACGGTTTATAAGCTCTTAAAAATTCCTCACAGGTTTCCTCAGAAATTTGAACTGGAAACTCACCCAATTTCTGAAACCCCGAATTCTGGCTCTTGTCAAGTTTGGCACAAACACCGGATCCTCTGCATTCTTCAGGCTTAGTCAAAGGCTTGCAGAGACTAACAAAAACGTCTCCAGAGCCACCACTTGCCAGATATTTCCCGCCTCGCGACAAATTCGAAAAATCAAATGTCCATCCGTGGAGGTCATCAGTCACCTTACAGTCGGTTCCTATGACTCTCTGTTTTTTAAAAAGAACAAAAATATGAGTGATTGTTCATGACTGAATACAATTAAAAAAAAATAAAACTAACCTTCAGTGGACAAGCGAATCGCGTTTTCCAAGTGATTTGATAATCACAAGCTGTGCTGTTCACAACAGGCGCTTCTCCTTTGTGCTCAGCAACACAAATGAGGGTCAACACAGCAGAAATCTTCTTTGATTTGTCACTGGGACATCTACTTCCTTCTGTAAACTCCAGAAAAGAACAAAGAAAACATTCAATAAACACAACATCTACGCAGAAAAAAACTGGACTTCGGTTCTTACAACATCCGATTAGACTTTCTGGGATATTAGACAGGTGTCGCCTGAATCGCTAGCCTACGAAAAATTAACTCTGCCAAATCCCTAATACAGTATGATGCACCGAGGATTCAACACACAGAAAAAAATGAATGAACTCGACAAAAATTACTGATCCATTCTAGCGAGTTGATTCAAATATAATTTCAACAAAGTCGGGCGACATCTACGCGAAGTTGAGAAAATTCAGGATCTGAAGACCTCAGTAGGATGTGTTTCTTGACTGATGAATAGATATCAATCTGAGACTAAAATACTCGTCTTTCGTCAACAAAATAAAAAAAGTACGTTGGTTACCCCAACACAACATAGATGTCGCATGAATCTCTGACCAGGCCGAACCTCGAATAATCATCCCTGACATGAATAAACGCATTGACTGACCCTAATTTAACGCTTCCCGATTTAATTAAACTAATCATACTGCAGTGCGTAACGAAGGTCCAATAAAATTTTAAAAAAAATGAATCATAGAGCGACATCCACATTTAGAATGTTTGAATCAACGGAAGACAAAGTTTTTCATTGACTCTTGACTCACCAAAAACCTTGACAACAGTCTGTGATGGAGACACTTGCTCTGCTTTCCAGTATCTTCCCAAAGACATGTTTTTCTTCGACGTTTCCTGAGTTAGACATCCGTAAACGTACGCGGATGAATCTGCAAGAAAACGAATAAACAAATCGAATCTTGAGAATGTTCGAGAGGATTTTCAATCGGTCTTTTCAATATGTTTCATTTTTTTACTTCTCACCAGCATTTCGGCAAATGTCCGAGTTCGAATGCGGCTTGAAGGGTTTGCACAAATTGATATTCAGGGCCTGAGATGCATTTAATTGGATGGCCAACGGAGACTCGAACATGGCACGCAGATCCACTTCTTTCCCGTTCTTGGTTCGCAACCGACATCTGTCGTTGGAATCGGACAATTTTCCGGCCCACAGGCAAACAACCGGGTGCTCCAAAACCAAGGACCCATTTACTAAACCAAAAGTCTGGGCTGCTGCACACTCCAACCTCACGTCCACAGATTTATCTTTTCCTGCAGAATATATGTATATTTTTAGCCATGCACATTTTATCTGGTTGAAAAAAATTTTTACTTTAATTCTTCATAAAAATTCAAGATATTGTTTTTTAATACTGTTGGTCTTGACCTTTTCGTTGAAAATAACGCCTTTTTTCCGGTTGAGTATATGAACATTATTCAACCACTTCTTCATTTCACCTGATCACCTGTATGCCAATTATAATTTTAAACGTTAATGATATTTTGTTCGCGGAGAAATCACGGAATTACCTCAGGATGCCGTAATAATTTATTCAGACTGGCTTTTTTCTGATAAAAGGTTATCTTCACTGGAAACTCAAAATTTGAGGTAATGAAGAGCAGTACCTAAATCCTGCATCAAGTTCGCCTGGTGTTCTGAGAATGAATCAATAAATTATTAATTGATAAGATCATGGTGCAGATCTCGAACATCTCAATTGTCATAAATATTTTTTTCGTTTGTTTTACAGCCATTCAAAATTCACGATACAAAAAAAAGACCAAATGGCAGGGGTAACAAAATTTAAATTACACAAAGTTTACCAGAAAAGGGAGAGAGAAGTTTCTACATGATTATCCATAATTTTCCATTACTGTACATTTCATTTTTTAACTCAATGACGTAATTGAAATCAATTAGTTTATCCTTGAATATTAATTTTGACACAGTGTCAATTCTAAAAGACCCCGGTAATTTATTCTTGCCAATTAAGTTAAAGTGATAAAATTCAATTTTATTCCAAGGTATTTTGTGTCAAACCAGTATATTTTCTCCCCGCACTCAAATTCGAGTACTTATCTAAATTAATTTTGCAGCATCTACACAGAGAATCATCTTAGTTCTTGTTTCAAAATCTGGATCTTGCCAATTGAGTTAAAGTAATAAAATTCCATTTTATCACGAGGTATTTTGTCTCAAACCAGTATATTTTCTCCCCGCACTCAAATTCGAGTAATTTATCTACATTAATTTTGCAGCATCTGCACAGTGAATCATCTTAGTTCTTGGTTTAAAATTGCAGAAGATAGAAAGTTTCAAAAACTGGATAGAGGCATCTCGGAATTGAAAAAAAAAAATAATTTACACGCATAAATCAGGGAATACCAGGAACTTTGCATAGGGATTTGATTAGTTTGGAAATGCGACCTGAAGTCTATAAGCACATCACGAGGCAATCGCAAGCACCGACAAACAATCGGATCAACACGACGCCGAAACTCGGGTTTCAGAGCACTTCTCTTTCTAAAAAAAAGTAGTAAGAGAAAAAAAATGGTAACTCGTATTCCTCTAGGTCCACATTCTGCTCGGGGCAGAATCGAAGCTTCGCACCCGCCAGCTCCCGCTGGGATTCCTAGGCTGGCGGAAGGTGCCCGGCGCCGGATTCGGTTTTCGCGCAGAAATTCGAGTAGTTCCCGCAAGACCAGGATGGATCCAATGGCTGGCAGAAACTCAGGGCGTAATCCGATCCCGGCTTTTTCATTGTCGGAAGGCAAACACGAAATTCCAGGAGAAAAAAAAAAAGAAAAAAAAACATAATTATTGGATTCCAACACACGAATTAAAACCGAGATCAAAGACAGTCAAACTACCTCTGTAAGTTGAAATTCAAGGGACCAGGAAACGAAAAATCGAAACAGGGAGGTTTTTCGAGTTTTTGATAAACAAGCATTTTTCTTGAGGGGAAGAAGAAAAGAATGTGTCCTTTAACATTAGCCACTGTAAGACCCGTAATTTAACGAAGAAGGTACTCAACTGTGCTAGGACTTGAAGCTCTGTAACCTAAGTAAATGGGTTAGAAAGTGAACCTAAAACAAAAAGTTAAAGTCTTTCCTGTGTCAATAAAATAATAGTCAAAAAGACCTTCAGAAAATTAGAGTTACGGAGGTTTTAATGCATGGATTCTAAGGGAATTCAGACAAGGGCTTGAAAACAAATTAATCGACTTGGGGATGTTAAGGGTTTTCGAGGTTTAACTGGACTGTGGTTCAAAAAAGAACACAATATTGGCTCAAATAACGTATGACACCATCAAGTTTTGATGCACTGCACTAAAAAAATAATAAATAAATAAATATTTTGCAGGCTGGAAAAATGACGCACGAAAAAATCGCGGCCAAATTTAGGACTTGCTTATTTTCATTGCATCGAGTTTCTTCAGAATCTGGAGTCTTTTTCATTCAACTCATGCTTCCATTAAAAGTCCCGTGATCATTAAGTCAGATTTCATGTTTGGGTTACTTTAAACTAAAAATGTCACCTTCCAGCTAAATTTTCATAAAAATAAATACAGGAGAAATGTGCTGTTAAAAAGGGGTCCATGCAATTCACTTGCAAATTTTAAGAAGACAACAAAAATTGCGTCTGTTCGACGCAAACATCCTTTAAAATCGCGCTGAAAAAATAACATACACACACTCACGTTTTCGGACTTTTCGCTCAAAAAATTCAGTTCTTTCAATGAAAAAGTCTCGTCTCCGACAGGACTCGAAACGGCGCAAGGAGAAGACGATTCTGCTTCATTTGTCACTCCAATTACTGGACAGGCAGCTGCCGTTTCCCAAATCACCAAAACTGAACACGTCGTACCTTTCGCCAACTGTAAAGGTAATAAAAAAAATTCAGGCTGAAAAAAATATTAAAAGTATATATACATATACTGTACTGTATATTATTACACTGAATATGCAAGTGGACTCTCTGCAACAAAACTCAAGGGACCAGAAAAAAATTCGTTATACAGAGAAAATTGTTGTCGACAAGATCATCATGGAGAGAATCCACCTGATTTACTTAATACTGTAATATAACAATAAATAATGATAATAAAATTAGAAATAATATAATACGGGTTTGCGATCATTGGGGAAAAAAACTTCTATTGATGGAAAATAAATTCGGCGACCTTAAGATTTCAATTTACTGTAAACTTATTCTTCTGCACCTTAAAGTTAAGAAAAACACCTTTTTTTGTAAATCAATTTCAAGGACTTTTTTTCAATTTGCTGCCCGACGTCAGAAGTGATTGATCAGTAACTTAGTTCATTGAAGTCTATGGGGAAATTTGATCCAACATTCAAAACATTCGAATGAAAGATATTTAATTCGTTATACATGGCACCAATACGAACACAGAACTCGATTTTTGGTACTATTTTGATGATACATCGAAATCGGCGGAGAGTAAGTTGAACAGCACTGAAGAGTATTGCCAAATGATTGGGGTGTGCGAGTAAAAAAACATGTTTCGGAATTGTTGTAAATCCGTCGGATCTATTTCAAAAAAGGTCTCAAAACTTTTGAACCAATCCTCGTCCATCACGTCAGGTCATACGATTGAAATTCGATTTAAATTCATGGATACAATTTCCCACTACAGTACAATTTTTGCCCAATATAATTCGGGGCACCAGCATCCGTTCATTCATCTGTAAAACCGAATTTCTACTGAACTGTTTACAAAAACAAATAAAATACTGATACATGACAACACTCACGATAGCGTTTGATGATCCTTGCTCCTGAAAAAATGAGAAGAAAAAAAAATTACGTAAGCATCGAGGAAATTCAATAATTGGCAGGAGATTTCAAATTTTTTTTTCCTTTCGAGAAAGTGAATTTCTACGAACCCAAGAATCATGTTTGCACCGCAAGACGTATTCCGTAGAGAAATTCCCACTTCCACAAGTAGTTCCATTTGTGTATTTCAAATGAAGCTCTCCGTTAGTGACCACCACTTCAGCTGCAAGGGAAGAGGAAAGAGGAATTTAAAAACATTCCGTATTTTTAAAAATACAAAAACATCGGTAACTGATTTTGAAAACAGTCTGGCATTCGAATTAAAATTAATAAAAAGCTTCGAACTTCTAGTTTTTCTTTGACTGATTTTGCGAAAAATTTCGCGAAGTTTGGCATTCGAGTTGAAATTAATAAAAAGCTTTGAACAATTGGTTTTTTTGCTGATTTTGCGAACAATTTTGCAACGTTTGGCATTAGAGTTAAGATTTTAAAAAAGCTTTGAACTAATAGCTATTTTGCTGATTTTTCGAAAAAATTTGCAAAGTTTGGCATCCGAGTTAAAATAATTAAAAAGTTTGAAACTATTGGTTTTTTTAACTGATTTTGCGAACATTTTTTCAACTTTTGTCATTCGAGTAAAAATTAATAAAAAGCTTTTTGAACCAAAGGTTATTCTTGCTGATTTTGCGAATAATTTTGCGAAGTTTGGCACTCGAATTGAAATGAATTTTTCAACTCCTGGTTTTTTAAAATTAAAATTTCCAAGTGGACTTTTTCATTTTGTTTCTTCCCACCCACCGACTTTCAAAAAATATTTTAAAAAACTTTTCATTACCATCCAGTGAAGAGCCTGTGTTGGCTGCAGTGACAGTTTCTGTGCCGGAGGCAAAGGAAGTCAGGCACCCGTTTCCAGACAAATCGCAATCCTGAGGTATGTTGTTAGATTTGCCCAAAGGCTGACACACGCTGAAGTAGAATTTCTGAGAATTACCCTGGAAATTTTCCAGGTAAACAGTTGATGCCAACCTATGAAAAAAACAAAAACATGACGTTTCAAGACAACTAGAGTGAAATTTTCTTACAACAAATTCCCACAGAACTGTGAAAGAATCAATCAATAAAACAAACTTTTTTATGATTAGATTCATGGTTCTTGGTGTAGACACTAAATTCGTTTTGTGAACAAGGTAATAAAGTCTTTAAATCGTTTCCACAACAGACATTTGCTGAAATGTCTCTAATTCAAACATTTTCTATGCAATATTAGGGAACAATTCAAAATATGAAAGACAATCATATTATTTCAAACTGCCTGCTTCAAATTTCCTAAAATTGTAGTGATCTTATTTAAATATTGAGTGAATGAAAAAAATCAAAGGGGCAGGAAATGCTCCTATTCAGTCAAAAAGGTCATTCCCTAAAACAGAGCAACATTCTCCAGACATACTGTTCATTTGAAAAAGTAACCATTACTAAATTATAAATAAAACTAGACAAATTCTGACATGAACATCACACAGTACTTTATTTCCTACTTTCTGCAATTATACATTTCCTAGACATTAGCCTTTATTTTTATGGATTTCAATCCTGCAAAAGTCAGGAGAGACCCAGAGGAAAAAAAATCCTCAACCACTTCACCATTGCTGGGGACAACAGTCCCCACAACATGAGGACAAAGAGTTGCTCACTGAGGATCAAAAGGATTTTTTTGTTTGAGAAAAAATCACACACTCAGGCTGGGACAAGGGCAAGGAATTCTTGGTAGAATCCCTATTTAATACTTGAATTATATTTCAAATTATCCCAAGTAAAGGAATTAACATGACAGACAGTTTTTTGACACAACCAAAAAATAGCTCAAAGACAAAACACAAAATTGACAAAAATCACGAAACCTCTCAGCACGCTCTCAAATTTGGCACACAACATCTCCTGCTGAGAACTAGGCACAGACTGATGATAAAGATGGGATAAAAATTTTTTTTTATTCATTATAGGGCATATGGCCTTGGTCCAGTACCCTGGCTCAGGATCAGGAAATTTTTAGAGGCCTGGGATTGGCCAGAAAAAGTCAAGTCAAAGACAACAGTGGGGACAGAAGCTCAGAGAATCAAAGTTCTCCAAGTTTCCCAGTTTTTTCTGAAGGCTCTCTCTATTTCTACTATTGGTCAATTATTCCACCCAATTTATTTATGGGGTGGCGGATCCCCAACAATCATTGACACACTTCAGTTACAATAGATGAATAGTGATTTTTATTATACAGTTGAACCTCAATAATGCAAGCCTCATGTCAAACATTTTTTGTTTCTAATCCTTGTCTGAATTCTTTTAGAAACAAAGAACTAAAAAAAAACCTCTGGAACATGTGAGCTTTCCTCCTCAAACTTCCACAACCCCAAATTTTCTGGTGGGCTTTTGGCTATTATTTTATTGACACAGGAAAGACAAAAGCAATAAAAATGTAACTTGCTGCAATTTGAAAGGAAATGAAAGACTAATTGGACAAATGAACCCTTGCCTCCAACTTCAGCATCCCATCAATTCATTTAAAAATAATTATAGTAGATTAAAAAATTNAGAGTCAGCGTTCGGACAAGGTCTGGTGCGATCAACTTAAAGCAACATAAAATGCACCTGTATATATAGCCTCAGCTGGCCATGGTCACGGGGCGCGCATAGAGAGCCGATTCGGATCGGGGACGTCACGCTTCGTTTCTTTAAAGGAAGGAAGCGTGAGCGCGGTTGAGAAAGAATTTCGTCAACAACGGGATTGGGAAATATAATTGCTAGCGCGCCAGGCGCAGCCAAGCGTAGCGGAAATACATTAGCTTAAAAGGGTCACGCGTAAAGTGAAGGGTGTTGTGGTCGTAAATATGACTACAACGTGGTAATAATAAATTCAAGGCCAAGAATATCAAAGCTTACAATTTCATCAAATTCTTCTTTCTCTTCTCCAACAAAAAATACTCAGTTCCCTCACTTGAATTGTTTCGATGCTCTCTTCAAGTTCCCAGCACTTAAAAGATGTTTATTTTACTGCACTTGGAATGGGGTCTAATGCCTCAATGTCCCATAAGAACAAAGGAGTGGGAAAAGAAGCATAAAACACTTACCCTTTCAAAACGTACTTGGCACCATTCTCCTTGATCACACACTCTTGACTGTCAATTTCCGCAGCGAAAGTTCGAAGCGAGACGAAAATCGCTCCGGAAAACAACCACAATCCACCGTGAAACATCTCACTTCAACAATATTTCCAACATTCTCAAAGAATCACATGTGTTTTCATCTGCGGAATCCAAAAAATAAAAAATAAATAATCACACGACACTTCCAAAAATCCCCACGGTCAACTCGGAAATCGAAGAGGAAACTCCGAATAAAAGGCTCCTTCCATTGCTTCAAATGTAAAACCGGAACTCGATGTGAATCCTTTCTCCACGACTGTTGTGCTGAAGAACCGCAAGCAAACGAGATGAAAACGAAATTTGGCACGCAACTTTATGAGATACAGTCCTTAGAATGATATTCCGCAGAAGTGCAGAACGACTCTGAAACGAACGAGAAAATCCGCATAAAAATCACCAACTCTCGAAAATGTCGTAAGAAAATCACAAACTTTGAATGAAATTTCACAGAACAACTCGGAAATGAACAAGAAATTCCGAACAAAAATGATCAAATTTTCCACCAAGACAATGAAAACACGACATTATGACGACAATGTCTTGAGAAAATTGCAAATTGATCATGCGACACTTTGAATGATTTTCCACCGAAACACTCGGAAATGGACGATAAACTCCGCACAAAAATGATCAAATTCCCCACCAACACAGCGAAAAAATAAAAATTTCGTGAGAAAATTGCAAACTCATCAAGCGTCACTTCGAAAGATATTTCACGAAAACTTCTCGAAAATAGAAGAGAAACTCGCACGAAAAATATCATCAACATTTTCACAAACACAGCGAAAAAATAATGCGCAGTATTCAGTGAACTACTTCAACAATCACGAATTCAAAACGAAAATCACGTCCGAAAAAACCCAGAATCCATAGTTGAAAAATTCTTTTAAAACTCTCGCCTTGTTGCAATGGATAATACAAAATTTAAAAATCGTAAATTGATCATGCGACACTTTGAACGATATTTCACAGGATAACTCGGAAATGGATAAGAAACTCAGTACAATCCAATTACAAACAGACACGTAATAATTTCAAAAATCATTAATTCAAAACGAAAATCACGTCCGAAAACACGGTACACAATCAACCAAAGAAAATAAATTCTTGGAAAATCACGTCTTTTTTTCAATTTGATGTGACACTTTCAATGAATTCACTAAAAAAAATTCAACCTAGCCACAAACATAAAGTCGCACTGCGAATCAAAGACTTGATATCCGTCGCCGAATTCATTATTCACATTCAGGACGAATCAGAACTTTCACAATAAATATTCAACACTGTAAGAAACATCGATTCACGGGTTGAAGGCATCGAGAAAAAGTTGGCAGATCTTCAAAATTGATTAAGTCAGACAACAAGTCCATCACGTATAGTCACTGCTTTGAGCAACAACCAAAAACATGCACTCGCACTCTCAGAACCTTCAATATCCCCAAAAATCCACACAAATGCTTCATAAATTCATCGCTAAATTTTCTGCATCATGGAAACAGAAGTTATCAGGATGAGGTGCAAAACTCTCGCGTTATTCACTGCCATCTTCGGGATAATGTTTTGCCTTATAATTTCTTTCATGCTTGCGGTCGAACCCGGACGGGAACCCAATAATTTTCCTTCGTGGTGGAAAATACCCCAACAGTGAGTCTTCGTTGATAACCTCATTAAAATCAACTGCCGTCATTCCTTCCACACACACACACACACACACACACAAACATTAAGTACAAATTTTCAGCACTAATTCATAAAAATGTGTTCGGCCAATTTCTGCTTCACAATACACTAGACGAAAAAAAAAGAAATCATGTTTCCAAGGGTGGAACAATTTCTAATGATAAATTAATTTTTAATTTATGTTTCGATATTTCCTTGTAAATATTTACCTAAATGATCGGTTTCTTCCGAAATTTCCCAAGGAACAAGCACAGTTTCATATTATTCAGATGTGGGTCTGAGCCTTGAACAAACAGTTGATTTGAATAGTTCGCATAAATCAAGTCCATTAACCGAGGCACCACTCCCGCAAATTTGATCTTCTGAAGTACCATAAGTCGGAAAATTTTCCATTAAAGTAGAATCATCAGTTTGGTCACATTGTTTGTCAATACACATTCCAGATAATGAACTTCCATGTGCAAAAAAAGCCAAGTCCATTAACCGAGGCACCAAGATGCAAATTTGATCACCTGAAGTATCTAAAAAATGTCCATCACTCAGCTTCAGATTTTATCTCATCCATCAATATCAGCATTTTTGAGTAAAGTGAAACAATCATTTGAATAGTTGGCAGTTACACTTTTTACCCTTGACACAAAGCCAAGTCCATTAACCGAGGCACTAGTGCAATAAATTCTATCGCTTCAACCAGTCTCAACATTCTCAAGTGAAGTGAAACAATCATTCAAATAGTTTGCGGTCACAATTTCCAGAACATGACACTTTGCACAAAGCCAATAAGTCCATTAACCGAGGCACTACTACAACAAATTTGATTTCATCAATCAATCAATCAATTTAAAATTTGCAGTGAAGAGAAACCATCATTTGAATAGTTTTCAATCAATATATGGACTAATTTCCAGGATATTATATTTTCAACCAAGTCCACTAACCAAGGCAGCATCAATCTTGCTGCAAATCCAATCTTATCCATCAATCATTTATAGTTGAACCTCTCTGATTTGAATTTCAAGGGACGAGCAAGAAAATTTGACTTCGGGAGGTCTTGAGTCATAGAGGTTTGCATTACAGAACCAAGAATATTTGTTATCATGAACATGGAAGAATCCCACAAAATCATAAATGGTGATATTTTGGGCCTTCTTAAATGATTTGATAGGATACTGGACTAGGATGCAAGGATTTTTCATTTACTGTACTTTTCTTCAAAACACATCAAATTCCACTTTCTGTTGCTTTTCCCTTTTCCATGTCAAGAAAATAACAATCAAAAGGCTTCAGAATATTCAAATTATGGCGGCACAATAAGAGGAAAAGACTCGGAGTTAGGTAGATTTTTACAGAATTGTTTCTCAGGGAATTCAGAGGGGGACATGAAAAAAATTCGAATCAGGGAGGTACAGTATTCGACTTATCAAGGTTCAACTGTAATAAAAAAAAAAAACTTTTCCTTATAGTGAAGAGCCCAAAGGAACCCCAGGGCTGCAAGTCCATCAAAGCAACGAACCGTCAGCAGACGTACAAGCCGAACAACCCGTCGGCAACGTTGCCCGGAATGTGACTGTCACAGTGGGCGATGAGACCATGAGCCTGGGTGTGAGTGACGTGGGACCCGTGTGCCCACCGGGAACCCGTATCCTGTTACTGGTAATCTCAGCACCGGGTAACTGGGCGAGAAGGAAAGTCCTGCGTCGGGTTTGGATGAGCCAAAAGGGCGAAATGCAACGAGAAAATATTTTTGCGGCGTTTCTCGTTGGGCAGCCTCAGGAAGGATCCAACTTCACAGTACAGTACATGAAATTCGTCGTATACTGTATTATAATTTCAAGTTTTAAAAAATTGAAGAAAATATTAGCTCGATCTTCATTTCAAATTCACCCCCCAGGAATAAATACCACCACCACTATGCCTTAAATTGTACACAAAAATTGTTACTTACACGAAAACACAGTTCTCTTGAGAAGCCCTTCTGATGATTCAATCCACGGTACGTCTCATTTCCAGGAAAAGTCTCAAAGATTACTAGAACACGAGACCAAATCGCTTGGAGACATCATCACATTGGCCGATCATGAAGACGTTTACTACCGTTTGACATACAAGGTCATAGCGGGTTATGCTTGGGCAAGAGAGTTTTGCAAATCGGCGAAATTCATTGGCAAGGTCGACGATGACGTTTTCGTCAATATCAAAAGACTCAATGCTTTTGTGGAAGGGAAGGACGACAGGAAGGCCGTTTTGGGACCGATGAACAAAGGCCTTTCGGTCATAAGAGACCCAAATTCAAAGTGGTAATCTCATCTTTGAGATACTGTACAGTTAAACCTCCATTACTCGAACGTCTCTCAGACGAATACCTTTCTTAAGTTGAATGTTTCCAGGTCCCTGTCTAAATTACAGTTCAACTTCTCAAAGGCAAATTTCTAGGGAACAGGAAAAAAATTTAACTTAAGGAGGTTTTGAGTTAAGGAAGCAAACATTTTTGCTGTAAAGAAAAGTAAGAATATGTGAATATTTGTAGATGAGGATATTTAGGGCCTTGTTTAATGAGTTTACAGCTAGCTGAAATTGGAGGCGGGGGTTCATTTGTTCATTATTCTTTCTCTTGTTTTAAGATGCATTAAATCATTTGTTTTATTGATTTTCTCTTTCATATTTCAAGGAAATAATAACCAGAAGGCCTCAGAAAATTTGACTTACAGAGGTTTGAGAGAAAAAGACTTGTAAGTTGGGGAGGTTTTAAATACATTGTTTCTAAGGGAATCTAGACAGGGACTTGGATTTTCTGGAGGCCAATGGGCTATTATTTTATTGAAACATGGAAGAGAAAAGCAACAAAAATGTAACTTGATGTACTTTGAAAGGAAGTGGAAGACTTTTTAGGCAAATGAACCCTTGCCTCCAAGTTCTGCATCCTGTCAACTAATTCAAGAACCAATTCAAGGCCCAGAATATCATCCATTACAATTTCCTGTAATTCTTTTTTCTTTCCCCAAACAAAAATGTTTGTTTCCCTAACTCTAAATATCTCCATCTCACCACCTAAATTCGTTAGGTACATTCCACCGACAATCTATGGACGAAAGAAATACCCGCCGTACGCTGCAGGATTTTTCTACCTCGTGACAGCTGAATTTGCAGACGCAGTTCTCGCAGAAACTAAAGGCGTAGCCTTGTTTCCGATCGATGACGCTTACATCACGGGAATACTAAGGGAGGCTTTGCATGCGAATAAGTTTCTCACATACATGGACGCACCTGGAGTTTGGAGATTCGGCGTTGGTCCAGCAACGATTCGATTTTGGCTGTCACTACCAAATTCCAGAGCTTTGATAACAAGGGCCCCGATTGCGGTTGTACTTGAAGATGAAGCCGCGATGGACGGAGTGCATGCGAAGATGCAGCTTGCGGATCTTTTAGGACGACTTCTTGGAGCAAACGTGTCTTCAAACGTCTACTCTGACATTCTCTGACCAATCGTTGATACAATTTATTGACGAGAATTCCCGGAAACTCGATATCGCTTCGTAGATTACGAATCACCTCACGTCGCGACACGATCACGCGACATTATTCTGTTCACGTAATTTTGTCTCATAAATACTGAGCATTACTTACGACACTTCATTATCAAAACTTTCAAAGATTTCGCGGATTTACAGCCAAACCCACGTGGTAGCCCCCTGAAGTTGGGATCCTCAACCGGTCAATATCCCCAACGAACTGAGCTACGGCAAAAGGGGCAGTAGAATTGGGATGTGGAGTAGTGACATCTGTCGCTTCGAGCTCATAATTCACGAAATTATGAGTGCAATACTGCACAGTAAATTTTAATGAAGTACAACACTACAAAGTGGTAAGAACATCAGCATTCCAGTGATTTAAAATCGCATAAGCTCATTGCATATTTTGAGGCTGTTTATTTCTCAAAAATTAGGTGCATGTATGAATTGTGTGGTTTTTCTGAACGCGTACAGACGAAGGGCCTGTGATTTTATTGGTGTACCAGCTGCTGCTATAAGCGACTATTGTACGACGTCTTTGCTCATTTCCGTCTGACAATTGGATCAATGTGACGTGAAGCTGCTTAGAAGGAAGAACCCGGAAGTAGTCGATTTCTAGTACCCTTGCGGTTTGGCATTTCTACGCCTTGATTCCTGACGTTAGCAGTGATGGAAGAAGAAACGAGTTTGTACGACGTATTGAACGTTCCGAAGTATTCATCCGTCAAAGAAGTGAAAGAAAATTTCAAGTCATTAGCTCTCATGCACCACCCCGACCGCGGGGGTTCTGCTGCTAATTTCTCCCGTATCCAAGCAGCAATGCGGCACGAAAGTCTAGGACAGGTTTTTAATCTAATGCTACTTAGGGACTTTGAATTGGTCTTTGAAAGCGCTTCACAGGCGACGCTCAATCTGAGCCTTTTGAAACTATAAAATCCCCTACCGTGCCTTTGGGGCACTTGTACACGAGAGGTGACCCACCGAAAAATCTATGCGCGCCGCCATGACTTTTGACACTCTTGCCATCTATGAACAGAACATTGAACAATGAATCTCTCCAGCAACACTGGCCAGACTCCCATATACAGTTCTGTACTCCTCTGCGTTATGACGCAAGTTCACAATCACCATGAAACTTCAGGCCTCCTNGTAGTCGATTTCTAGTACCCTTGCGGTTTGGCATTTCTACGCCTTGATTCCTGACGTTAGCAGTGATGGAAGAAGAAACGAGTTTGTACGACGTATTGAACGTTCCGAAGTATTCATCCGTCAAAGAAGTGAAAGAAAATTTCAAGTCATTAGCTCTCATGCACCACCCCGACCGCGGGGGTTCTGCTGCTAATTTCTCCCGTATCCAAGCAGCTTACGCCGTGCTTTCAGATCCTGTCCAAAAATTAGATTACGATGAATCCCTGAAACTTAACCAGAAACTTTCGCGAAGTGTCCGCTGCGAGTTAGACTCGGAAAACTTTGATATTTTAGGGGATGGCACATTTTGCCACCCCTGCCGTTGCGGAGGATTCTTTGAAATGCCTGTAGAAGAAACATCTTCTGAGAGAACACTGATCCTTGAGTGTGACTCCTGTTCGTTGCTCGGAGAAGTGTCTCTGCCATGAAGAAGCTTCGAATTGCTATCACTGGCCCTCCTGGGATTGGCAAAACAACTGTGATCAAAACCTTGACTGAGTCCCTGAGTTCATCCTTCTCCGGTTTTTACACGGAAGAAGTTCGTGATGGACATGGTCATAGGATAGGATTTGATATTGTGAAATTCAAGAGTTCTGAGCGTCATCCTTTATCGAGGATAAATGGATCCAGTCGATTCCACGTTGGACAGTACGCGGTATTCGTAGAAGACTTCGAAAAGTTTGTGTTGAAGGATTTGTCCGACACTGAGCTTGTCATCATCGATGAACTTGGAAAGATGGAGTGCTTGAGTTCCGAGTTCGTACGTGTTTTCGAGGATCTGCTTGCTGTTAGTAAAAATTTTGTCATGGGATTGAATTACTGTATGGATGTTCAAAAATAGATTCATATTTGAATTTGTTCCAGACGGATGTTTCCATTCTGTGCACAATACCAATTCCTGGAAGGGGCCGACCGATTGCTGTTGTCGAGAAGGTGCGAAGGAGCTTCAAGATATTCACTGTTTCGAGGGAGACTCGTAATAATCTGGCAAGCGAAATAAAACGATGTATGGTGTGAAAAAATGCACGGCTTTAAAGTCATTTGCTAGATATTAGCAAGTTTTCTGCTGAATTTCGGACGGTATCATGATGAGTTCCTTGGTTTCTTATTTGCTTTGTCAAGATTGCATGCGCAACATCCCTACGAAAGTAAACGTTACACAGGACCTGAACTCATTTGAAAAATTTCATCAAGCACAATCACTACCTCGCAGTAGCTGATGGATTTCTGGATTTTTTTGTAGCACTTGACCCTTACAAATTAACTTCATAATCCATAGCAATTTTATACTGCAATGATATGAAGTACTGAACAGAATATTATATATATGTTACTGTACTGAATTGTAACAGGTGTTGCATGACACTCGAGGACCATATATGCGGTTCCTTGTGTATTAGGTGCATTTAATTCCTTCTAATCTTGGTTGATTTGTCATGAGAGTGAGAGGAACCATTGGGGATGTCCTCAAACAAGTTCAGTAAAAGGAATGTTACTCCTTGGTTCCCTACAATAGTTCAGCTATGGATCAAAAACGTTCAGAAAATTTGGAGAAGAGACTTAACTGCGGAATAACCTTTGTCTGAGCAACTAAATTGGCTTTCACCCATCCCACTTCCTGGGGAATTTCCACAGATGCAATTGAACTAAATTTTATAGAGTATTGTAAATTCAATGCTATGTGATTTTATAACAAATTTCATGCCAAGAAGTTAAGTGTACTCATTTTTGACTGAGAACAAATGATATTCAAGTTAAAACAACACTACAATCGCTCTATAAACGGCATCACAGCCTACTGTTTTAGCGAACGTTTACTTTTATCGTAACACACTTTGTAAGTGCCCCACCTTGTCAGAGAAAGAAAAAACCCTCGAAGTCATAGAGCTTCACAATCTTTCTTTTTTTTATTTCTCACGATGTCTTTTGGGACAGAATGCCAACTTGACAATGCTAGGATTTCGAAAAGAAATATTCCACGTTCCAAATGCGAAGAAGTTTTTATGGACAATAAGAGGCAGAGTACTGATATTACCTCGATTTCAGAGGTTGCATCAATTAACCGCCATTGCAACTTAGTATGTCGGATGTGCATCCGGATCATTAAAGTCCTGTGTCTGGCTAAACATCAGCCCTTGAGTGAAAATTGATTGTGTTTGGTGAGCGAAAGGAATTTCTTGTCTGTGAAAATGTTCGGAAGTGTCGGTACCGGAAGAGACCTTCGTGTCCTTTCTGTGTAATTAATCTTTTTTGGTATTATCGAGGTTGAGTGCGATTGATCGCATGAGTGTCCCAAGTCATTTGAAGTTCGTTTTTGTTCTGTTCCAGGATCTTTTTTCAAGAGGCCCATTCGATCTTGCCCGCTCGTCATGGCTAGCGGGTCTGAGAGAGTCGGTCAGAAAGATGAATGTTTCAGTTTGAAATGGAACGTGCATCATTCGGAAACCTTCGAGGCCTTCGAAAGCCTTCGATTCAAAGACTCGCTCGTAGATGTTTCTCTGTGTTGTGAAGGGCATATCCTCAAGGCGCACAAGCTCGTCCTTTCTGCTTGCAGTCCTTATTTTGAACGCATCCTCCATGACGTTGGGGTGCGGTATCCTGTTCTCATGTTCCAAGATGTGCCTATGTACATGATGCAGCTTCTGCTCCAGTTTATGTATAGGTAAAATTGCGATATTCACGTCTCGACTGCAGGGCTGGTGTCACTGTAGTTCATTATGTGTTCGATGCTTTTAGGGGAGAAGTTGAGATCCACAGTTCGATTCTTCCAAGTTTCATAAAACTCGCCGAAAGCCTTGATGTCAAAGGCTTGAGAAAAGACCGGGAGCCGGTGCCAGGCCCTCGAAATTTTCCTTGTCAGTTACAACGTGGTGGCAATACGAATCCAGAAAAGACAACTTTCAATCATCCTGATAAAGAAGACCGCCTCCAAAGCAATTGTTTGGAGCCGTGTGTGCAAGTGGATCAAGAGTCCGCCGGAATTGAAAACGAGGTTGGAAGTTTTTCATGCTCCAGTTGGGAAAGGTTTTTACTTGACACAAATTGTCTTCATGAGCAGCAAGCTACGGCAGAGAAGCTTAAGTCGAGCCAGAATTGTGAAGATGATGTTAAGCCAACGTTCGAGGACGAGGATGGAGAAGATGATGACGGAGATCGTAGCGATGGTGCTCCTGGAATGTCTTCAGATGCCGACGATGGAATCGAGGTAAACTCTCCAAATGTCTACGAGGTTTGGATTTAGAACGTCCTACAACGACTGTGCCTTGGAGCATTTCAATAACCCGCGTAATCTCTGCTACTCCACACTGCGACTTAGGAGCACTGTAATACATGATTTAAAATTAAAATTAAGCCTGAAATTTATTCTCATCTTGGAAGCTTGAAGTGTATTCAATGTTCTGATCCCTCCAATCCGCTGGTGGTTCGGTCGCGAGTTTAGAGTGAAGCTTGAATCCTCGTGATTGGAGAAATTACCCTCTTCAATTACAGTTTTAATTTGGAAAATTTCTTCCTCTCCAGTGGATGGATTAGGGTATCATCAGCATCCATGGAAATATCCCAAAAAATCAGAAGCATTTCGTGATCTTGGCTGCGTTTGCGAGCCAATTCTTGGAAATTAGATCTGGAATTCTTAGATATCGAATTTTTGTTGTACAACTTACCCCCCTTACAGGTAAACCCAACGTCTTCACGCATACCTGTGCCTATTTTTAGCTTTCTTATCTATTTTTTGACGGGTGTTCGTTCTAAAATGGAAATGCTGGATAGGGCGATGTGAGTGGTTAGCTAAAAAAAATTCTTGCGTTTGTGAATCGGAATTACTGACGCTTGGGAATTCGGAAAATATTTTCAATCTAAATTATCTCAACGTATGTATGATTCGTTATCGATGGTTCCTGTTCCTTCTCAGGGCAATGAAGGAGAATTGTCCTCTTTGGACCTGTTGCGGCGCGAATTGAAGTCCACGGTGATTGTGCCAGTGGGGCCAGATAGTGGGTCTGCTGGCCCATCCTCTGGCCGATCGCCGCACTGGTCTTCCCCGCCGGGCAACGTGTCGGGGCGACCTTCTCATTCTCCGGCAGCGTCGGCGGCTGCCGCCGGATCAGGTGGCCTTGGCGCCGAGCATCCATCTTCCATCCCTTTGGATATCTCCACCGAAGTACGTCTTGCCCCCTACGTGCCTTATGAATGTTGTCGTGGGAATATATTTCTGATCTATGCGATAGATTTTCAACACTTTTTCTGTTTCAAATATGCTCCCCGTACAAATATAGTCGAACCTCTTCAAGAGAAAAGCAAAACATTCGACTTTAGGAGGTTTTGAGCTAGGGAAACCGCTAAAATCAACCCTTGCCATCCTTCTCTTGTGCCACAAATTGTTGCCTGGAAAAAATCCCCCACCAGTGTGTTCTAAAGGGAGAGCCCCTACTTGGTGCCAGTTCAGTTGGAGCCACAAATATTTTCCTGTCCAAAAAAAAAAAAAGTTGACACAAAATACATCTATCAATTCAGGTGATATCATTGGGTTATTACTGAGGAGCACATGTCCATGCTCCAGATACTTATGAAAATTCTGTTTTTGAATTTAAATGTAAATGGGTGGAATTATATGCATGTCCTCCACTGTGAAGAGCATCTCCATAACTAGGTTAGTCTCTTTAAACAAATGAAATACTGTATCACTATACATCATCTTGGAATTGTTTGCTTTTTTTGAATGGTTGATGCAAGATTTCAAGAAGCAGCCCTGCTCTTTTATGACGCAATAATGTGTGTGCAAAAGCTAATATGTTTTGTAAGACAGTATTTAATAAATTTAAATGCAGTATAAAACAGTGCATTTCTCTTGGAAAACAGACTCAATGGTCTTGGAAATACTGAAAACAAGATTATTTTACGCCCAGTTGAAGTTTTCAACCAAACCTTCGCATACAACAACGTTATTTAGTGCCACAATACATCCTTAGAAAAATTATAGCATTAAACTGGGATTTTTTTATTATTTTTTGCCTAGTATGGAAAAAAATTACAGGAAATTAAAATTTGTGATCTTTTGGGGTTTTAATTGTTAACTGTCGAATAAAGTATTTTGACAGGATTCTGAAATTGGAGGTGTGGGTTTATTTGAGCAATTAGTTGATCAATTTTTTATTCATTTTTATTTTTGACAGCATCAAGTCCCACTTTCATTGCGTTCTTCTCTCCTGGGTATCTTTATTTTCAATCTAAATTATCTCAACGTATGTATGATTCGTTATCGATGGTTCCTGTTCCTTCTCAGGGCAATGAAGGAGAATTGTCCTCTTTGGACCTGTTGCGGCGCGAATTGAAGTCCACGGTGATCGTGCCAGTGGGGCCTGATAGTGGGTCTGCTGGCCCATCGTCTGGCCGATCGCCGCACTGGTCTTCCCCGCCGGGCAACGTGTCGGGGCGACCTTCTCATTCTCCGGCAGCATCGGCGGCTGCCGCCGGATCAGGTGGCCTTGGCGCCGAGCATCCATCTTCCATCCCTTTGGATATCTCCACCGAAGTACGTCTTGCCCCCTACGTGCCTTATGTATGTTGTCGAGGGAATATATTTCTGATCTATGCGATAGATTTTCAAAACTTTTTCTGTTTCAAATATGCTCCCCGTACAAACATAATCGAACCTCTGCAAGTTGAACTTCAGGAGAAAAGCAAAACATTCGAATTGAGGAGGTTTTGAGTTAGGGAAACAGCTAGAATCAACCCTTGATTTAGTGCCATCCTTCTGTTGTGCCACAAATTTTTTTCCTGGAAAAAATCCCGCACCAGTGTGTTCTAAAGGGAGAGCCCCTACCTAGTGCCAGTTCAGTTTGAGCCACAAATATTTCCTTGTCCAGAATAAAAAAATTGACACAAAACACATCAATCAATTCAGGTGATATCATTGGGTTATTAGTGAGGAGCACATGTCCATGCTCCGGATAATTATGAAAATTCTGTTTCTGAATTTTTATGTAATTGGGTGGAATTATATGTATGTCTTTCACCGTGAAGAGCATCTCCATAACTAGGTTAGTCTCTTTAAACAATTGAAATATCACTATACTGTACATCATCTTGGAATTGTTTGCTTTCGTTGAATGGTTGATGCAAGATTTCAAGAAGCAACTCTGCTCTTTAATGACGCAATACTGCGTGTGCAAAAGCTAATATGTTTTGTATGACAGTACTGTATTTAATGAATTTAAATGCAGTATAAAACGGTGCATTTCTCTTGGAAAACAGACTCAATGGTCTTGAAAATTCTGAAAACAAGCTTATTTTACGCTCAGTTGAAGTTTTCAACTAAACCTTCGCAAACAACAACCTTATTTAGGGCCACAATGCATCCTTGGAAAGATTATAGCATTAAATCGGTATATTTAATTATTTTTTGCCTAGTAGGCAAAAACATTACAGAATACTTCATTAAAATTTGTGATCTTTTGGGGTTTAAACTGTCAGCTGTCGAATAAAGTAGTTTGACAGGATTCTGAAATTGGAGGTGTGGGTTTATTTGAGCAATTAGTTGATCAATTTTTTATTCATTTTTATTTTTGACAGCATCAAGTCCCACTTTCATTGCGTTCTTCTCTCCTGGGTATCTTGAATAATACCCAGAAAGGCTTATAAATTTGAGTTGTGTAGGTTTGAATGGGAGAGTCTATGATTTATGGAGGCTCATTTTATGTTCTTCTTAAGAGAATTCAGACATGTCCTAAATCGTTTGACGCAGAGAATTTCAAGTTATCAAGGTCCAACAGGAACTGTACAATATTATTTGTTTGTATCATTACATTTTTATTCTGTTTCTCTTCACTGGGTAACTCGAATAATTCTCGGAAGGTTTTCGAAGATTTGAGTTATGGGTGAAGTTTTTGAGTTAGAGAGGTTATGTTTGTACATTATTTTACTTCAGATAATTTGGACAGGTTCTAAAAATTTGATCCTGTGGGGTTCATAGTATTGAAGACCAAAAATAACCGTATTTTCCATTCATTTGTTTGCATCAGTACGAGATGTATCGCGTGAACGGGGCAATTTGGCGCGGGTACACGCACACGAGACGCGTGATGTACTTCTGCCACTTCTGCGACTACAAGAGTCCTCTGAAGGGTAACGCGGTGAATCACGGGCGGCGACATCTAGGCGAGAAGCCGTTTGCGTGTCCGATTTGCGGCAAGGCCTTCACTGCGGTGCAGAACATGAAGACGCACCAGATGACGCACGCGAGGGATTCCTTGCCGCCGGGCATGAGGCTTCCTGGTGACGGCGCCGGGTTCTTTGGCCACTCGTGAGTGCTCTTTTACTTTGTTACTTTTTTTTTTGTTCATCGAGAATGGGATTACGGTGGTGGCGGTGTTTCGGTTAACGATCTCGATTCACCACTAATGACGTGAGTTTTACGAGGTTCTAGGTATGCGAGTCATGTGGGGCGCGGGACTGGTACTGAAATTTACTGCAGACCCTCCGGTAACCCTTGTGAGAAAGCAGATGGCAACGAACTGTTCAGATGTAGGGTATTTGCGTTCCAATGCGCGTGCTGGGTGTATGTTCGCGTGGAAACTTTCATTCGGACGTCGGCATTTTTGTGAAACCTGAAATGACGACTAATTTTTTCGTTTTGATCAACGTGAACTTTATTGAATCAAAGATCGTATTCTGTGCGGCAGCTTCGAGAATAAAGTAAAATCTCGCAAAAGAAACATTTGGGGCCCTCAGAAAATGTTTGTTGTGTTGAATAATTTTTTATAACGCAATTTTAAATACTGTATGACTTGGAAAAAACTTTCAACATCAAACCTTCCAATAATCAGTTGGATCTTTCTTTTTCTGGTATTATCAGATTTTTCATTACTTTTCAAAACTGAGTGATATTAAAAAAAAAAATTGCTCAATCATGCATTCCATCTCTTGATTCTGGGAGGACGATGTGTGGAACCAATTGGAAGCATGTTTGTCATTGATTGAAGCTTCCTTCGATGAGATACGCACCCTTTGAATCAATTTTCTGCCTTCAACGTGGAATAGCTAATGTAAAAACGCTGAAAAGACGAGAAAAAATGCTGTTAGAAAATATCACGGATGCAGAAAAAGTTAATTTCCATTTGGGTGTAAATGTTTGCAGACACATTTGCCGCAGGAATTTTTCTGCAAAAATCAGTCGTGATTCAGTCGGTTATCGAAAGCAAAAATCGACGCTCCTCAAAATCCTTTTTGAGAGGTTTTCATCATCCACTCTTGTGGCATTTCACTGTACCTGTACAGTACTAATCTCCCCTTTTTTTTTATTCTTCATTTATTCCCAGGTTTCCGTTCACGTTTTCGCAGCTGACGCCGAACTCGTTCATGGAATCCACCTCTTCTGCCGATCTTAACTTCTCCTTGAAATAAGCAACTTGCGGGTCCTTGGTGAGATCGATCCGTGTGTAATCATGGCCTGTCGAGGGATGAAACCGAGGGGGAGAAAAAACCCCCTCGGATTTCACCTTTTCGTCTGTCGGTGCCAAAGTGGAGACAACCGGTTTTTTTGTTGCTTGTTTGTAAAAAAAAGAAAAGAAAAAGAAAGAGGGGGAAATGTTCCGCCAAGGAACGTTTTTCAGGGGGCTTTTCGCCGCATTTTGTTCGCTCGAATTGTATCGTAGTCCGTTGCTATATTCACTTGGCGGGCATTCAGCTTCCGACAGCTTTAACCACGCGGAAATTCGCGCGTGCGAGTGTCGAGCCTTTTTTGATTTTCTAAGCGGTTTGGGCAGCATTTCTACGAACAGAAAAAAAAGAGATGATTGTGTGAGCGAGTGACTGAGTGTGAAAAGAAGGGGGGGAAATCCTGTAAAAAAAAAGGTTTACGCAAAGGACAGTCAGAAAATGTAAAAACAGAAGAGAGCGAAAAAAATTGGGAGGTATACTCGAGTGGTTGTTTTTTTTTCGGTCTTAGCGAACAAGTGTGGATCAAATGCCGAGGATAAAAAAAAAATATTCTTGCCAAATTTTGAGGACGAAGAGACACAGCTGAGCCTAGCTGTTGCCGCGCGATCAATCTTCTAGTCAGTCAACTTGGCTTTGTTCACATTTACCCCGGTGGGTCCTGCCGGATTTTTTACTGTATTATTATTTTTTATTTTATTTTCGTTGATTAAGTTCTTTTCACTTCGATGCCCGATGTCTTGGACTTGTTGCTTTCCTTTGTCGTCGTATAGGTGTCGCCCGTAATTTTATTGATCATTTGTGGATTTAGGTGACGATGAGTGCCTCAAAAGTCTGGCTAGTTTTCAGAAGGAAATATTATTTGCATCTTAACGTTAAACAAAAAATTCTTGAATCGTGTTCAGAAAATGAAAATTTTCATTCATATAAAAATTTGAAATGTTGTGTCCAAATCTGGCCCACGGGCCAGATCTGGCCTGCGTGGACGTTTCATCCGTTCCATATCATTTTCAAGGTGGTAGCCTCCACAATTGAAAAATGAGTTTGAAAATTCAAAATGTTAGTAAGTCTATGCTTGTGAATCACTGCATAGCTAAATTTGAAATTTTTTGTTTTAAATGGGAAAATTTGGAACCTCAAAAATTATTGTCCATTGTGCCCCCTCAAGGACTCTTCCCCTCTGGAATGTGACCCATGGCCAAACAAAAATACATCAATGATTTTAGCAGCACTGATTTTAAATGTTGACGAGTGGTTGAAATTGAGAAGCAGGCAAAATTTTAATGTGGCAAGAAAGAATTTTGATTGGAAGCTCGCCACTCGTGAAGAGTGTCTTCTGAAGAAAAGCTCTGTAAAATTGTCGGGGTCAGCTTTAAAATGAAGTTGCAGGCTACTTTTTGTCAACATTTTAACCACGGATTTTGAAAGATTTTTTTTTTTGAAAATTTTTGGAACTGGAATTTTGTCTTATGAAAGGCTTTCTCTGAAAATGCTTGTGGCGGCTTGTTTTGGAAAAGTGTTCAAGGAAAATTTTGTTGGAGCCCTGGAGCAGCAGGAATGAGCAGCTTGAGCAATAGTCGATTTTATTTGGAAAATTCTGAGCGACATATGGAAATATTTGAGGATTTTTATTGAGTTTTCTGACACTGTGTGTTTTTAAATTTCATGCCGAATTTTTTCTGCCGATGATGAGTTTCAAAAATGTTTCGTGGAAGAATAATTCACTCAAAAATCTTCAACAGTTCTAGTCTGTGTATATTACTGATGATCAATATACTGTAAGTCTTCTGATTAGGTGTAAGTGCTATCTTTCATGATTGAAATTCATTCTATCAGTTTTAAAGGCGTATAAATCCTATTTTTTCAAGATGGTAAAAAATGTTGTGTTTTAATATGACGTGGAACCTTTCATATATCATGAAATTTTTTGAAGAACAAGGCTAATTTGCTCTCGTTCGTTAAAATTCCAGTTCGCTTCTGACTGACATGTCCACGTTTTTCAGAAGTTTTCAGTCATTCAGTGTATTCAATTTTTTAAAGCCAAGTCTATTCGCTGATCTAGAGCTTTAAAAATATTCAAGTGAGGAATAATGTACTCACAGTGCTTTGTCATTTTTATTGTCCTTTGTGACACTTGCAATACAATTGAGACAATCTTGAGTGTTGAGGCAGACACCATATTTACTGGAGTACCACCTGTCCTTGAATAAGATGCGCGCCTTTTTCAGTTCAAAAATTTTCAGTCTATAACTTTGATGGAAATGTATCCCCAAGACAGACACATGCCTCATTTTTGGACACTGAAAATTGTAATAATTTGTGTATTTAGACTTGAATGTTAATTTACCAATGTTTCCATACAATATTTTGAATTTTCTATTGAAATTGGTGAAAATTCTCTGTTGGAATCAGTTATGATATGCATCATTTTTTTTATATCCCAATGTCTCCATTTTTGTATTGACCGTTGAAATCGGTTAGAATTTCCTGTTGGAATCAAGTATGGCGCGCACCAAAGCTTTATAAATTTTGAAAAAAGCTATAGTTTCTCAAGTCGTGCACACTCTCTTCCTCGTAATTTTTAAAAGAAAGAGTGCAAGCGGTACTTGAGTAGAAGTGAGTAGGTTTGTTAATTGGGATCAACTCGAGAGAGATTAATCTTGGTCAAGTGAGTCATTCAGGCGACACCTGCCGGGCATCACATGAATCAAGTCGGGCGTTGAAGTGACGAGAACCCATCTGTTTCCCCACAAAAACAAAAAAAAATGGTTCTGTTATAGACTCCCCCTATGCGCTTCCTGCAGCGATGAATCGACTCAATTTTTGTTTCTTGTGTTTTTACGGCAGTATTACGGCTCTTCCAGCAGGTAACAAGAAATTCAGCTTGGAACACGCGCCAACAGCTGGTATTGAGAGCGGGGACGGCGAAGGGTTTATTTTTGTGCAAATAAGTGATGTGGGTCCTTTTTCTGTGTTCATAGGCACTCGATTTGTTTCTCCCGAAAAGAGGCGGAAAACAGTGGCTTTGAAGGTATTCGCTTTTAAAATGCTAGTGAACTACTTGACCCAGGGACGCGTGTGTATTGTTTTTTTTGTTTTTTTTTTAAAATAAGCTGCAAGACGAGGAGAAGGAAGTGTTTTGTGTTTGACTTGGCTTCGATTTGGTCATGTGCTCCTGGACTACGCGGACGCTGTGATGTTTTTTTGCATTTGCTGATTAATGAAAGCCCGTGGACTGCGAATTGCTCAGGAAATTTGAAGAGCTTTGCGGAAGATGCTCTGTCTTTGCATTTCTTGGGGAAAAAATAGTTGATGTGACCTAGTATCTGATTCCTGCATTTGACAGTTATGTGTAACAAAAACTGAAGGCGACGAATAGTCTGAAGCCCCGGGCATTTTTCCGACTCGATATGCGTAAGAAAGAAAAAAATGTGAAGGCTGTGTTAGAGAAAAAAAAATTACTCATTTTTCCGTCTCTTCCTTTGTCAGATCGCTAGGGAGGTTTGCATTTGAAACGACAATCACGACAGGTTTTTTTTGGCTAAAATCATTAATTTCAAGCAAACCTGTTTTTTTCGTGTTTTGGCAGCATTTTCAATTTTGTAATTTCGTATGTTTGTCTGACAGCAATGGCAATAGTGACCAGAGTAAGTCTTGTGATTGGGTGTAACTTCGATGTTTTCTTGTGCGAAATTCAATAGATCAGAGCTTTTTAGAATGGAAAACTGAAATTAGGTCGTGTTTTGATACGATTCAGAAACCTGTTGTTTGAGTTAGATAAAGGGTTGGATAAATTCTTGACGTTGGCATTTTGGGTGTGCGATTTGAACGCTTTTTTTTTTAGCTCGCGCACAACATAGATAAACATAATTTTGGGCAACCCTCGAAAAAAGGACGACATGCGAAATTGTGGAACGTCTTGCGAAGTTTTCCAAGACTTGGTTTTTTAAGTGGCTTTTTCCGTGTTTTTGTGAGTGACCTAAACTTGGTTAGGTATTTTTGGGTGAGATTTTTGCGGGTATAACTTTCTTGTCCTTGGGTACTTCTGCGCAAACGCCCTCATTTCCTGAGCAGTTCGTCTTCCCGTGGATTTTATGTTAATTATGGCGCGAGCATTGTCCTTGGAATGGCCAAATGGAAGCCAAAGTGTTCCACAAACGAAGAACCTCTGAAAGACTAACGAAGAGAGCGAGGAGAGAGGCATTTTTATGGGCTGGAATTTCTAAGAGTGTGTCTGTGAGAGTGACGTATGAGTGTTTTATGACGAGAAAGTGGCCTGTCTTGTGTTTGTAATAATGGATCACAGGAGTCCAGAAGAAGAAGAAGATGGAGATGAAGAAGCAGCAGCAGCAGCAGGAAGCCGTTTTGTAATGCGACGAGTTTTTCTTCCGTCGGATAGATGGACGGTTGCTTGGTCATTCTGTGCCATCGTCGAGTCCTCTTTTTCTGTTTTTTTTTTGGTTCTTCCAGCGCTATGCAATGGGGATGCGTAGTTGTCAAGCGGCACTTGACGCGTGCCGGGAAAATATACGTTCTGGGGAACGAGACTAATTTAATTTGTTCTGGTTCCTTGAAATTTTAGTCTTGCTCCTGGCTTACTTATGTGAGGTGAATGAAAATTTCGGATTAAATGGATACATTTGAGATTATGGGGAATTTGAGAGAGAATGTGAATTAGAAAAATGGTGAATTCGAGAGAAATGGTGAATTTGAGAGAAATGGTGAAATTGAGAGAGATGGTTCAAGACAAGAGACAATTTGAGCCATAATATTTGATGCAGAGATACTTGGGGACAGAGGCAATTATTGACAATCAATTTGAGACAGAGACTATTTGGGACAGAGTCTATTTGAGACCAACATTTTTTGAGACCAACATTTTTTGAGACCAACATTATTTGAGACAAAGACCATTTGAGACAGAGACCATTTTGAGACAGAGACCATTTTGAGACAGAGGCTACTTTGAGAAAGAGACTACTTGAGACTATTTGAGATGGAGACTATTTGAGACAGAAACTATTCAAGACAGAGACAATTTGAGAAAGAAGATAAAGAACAGGGAAAATTAGTCACAAGGCAATTTGTATACATGTTCAGAGATGGGAAAGTTTAGATTATTCAGCAATTTGAAGGGGAATGAGGCAATTATCTTTCATTATTTTCATTTCAGCTTTCATGTATGTCTTCAACTTTATTTATCTTCTCAACATTTGTTAGCACCTCATTTGGAACTTGATTCTTCAAGATGGAGAAAGAAATAATCAAAATCATAGTAGATTGTGGGTTCCCATTGTAATTCCAACAAACTCTGTAATTGGTGTCAATGTCTCTGTCTTGAGAAGTACATTTCAAATGTTCCTCTCTCAAACTCTCACTCTCCAAAATCATCCCTTTCTCATATTGTCCCAGACTCAAATTGTTCCTGTGCCAAAGTTTCCCTCGCTAAAATTTTCCCAGACTTGATTGTTTCTTGTCTCAAATTGTCCTTGTCTGTCTAAAATGGTCCTTTTGTCAAATTGTCCTTGCATCAAATGGTCCCTTTGTCAAATTGTCCTTGCATCAAATGGCCCCTTTGTCAAATTGTCCTTGCATCAAATGGTCCCTGTTCCAAAATATGTCCTAGGTCCATGCATTGGATAAAGGTGGGAAGAAGTTTGCAGTTGCAACCAATTTTTGAAAACTTATACATTCACTCTCATTGGAATTTGGGTGAGATTCATTTGATGGCCTTTCATTTTCTTTCTGAAAATATCAGTGATAATTGTAAGCTGGGAGCTGACTTAGGTTGGGAACGAACTTCGAATGCATGTTCTCAAGACTTCGCGTGAATTTGCATGTTCTTGGATTTGATTTTCTAAAAGTTGTTTATCTCCTGTTGAAAAGGAGTGTGTGACGGTGGAGAGAAGTGGAATGGGAAACGGCGTTTGGGGGAATGGCAAAAACGTTGTCATCGCACCACCGTCGACCTGTTCGAGGCGGCGATCGGGACGTTGACGACCGCGTTTTCGGCTTCCCTGTGTCGGAATGTCCGGAAGGAAGTCGTCACGTCCGGCGTCGGAACACTGACGCGAATCCACCGCAAGGCCAGTGCAATTTCCCCCCCGACATGAATTTGCGGAGTGTCAAAAGTGCCCGTTTGGACCCCACTGAATTTCAGAAGCAAGAATGGCTCGCGAGTCTCGGCGGTAAGTAGTCGAAAGAAGTGGCTGAAAAATAAAGTACGTCGATGAATCGATTGGAAAACAATGCCAATTTATCTAGTTCGGATTATTCACACGTCTTGTAGAAACAGTGTGTTTCCAGTAGAATTCAGTTTGTTTGAGGTTATCTAAATTTTTGTTATCGAAGTCATGACTAAGTCAACCGAAACGCGATTTTCAGAAAATTTGTTTAAAAAAAAGGAAGAAATAAAAATCCATCGAAATCCGTGCGACGAACGAAAATTATGAATAACTTTTTCGATTTTTCATTCAAATTTTAATTTGAAGTTGTGACAACAAATCAACGCAGAATTTTATCAAAGCTGCTTGTCCTTAATTTTTTATTATTATTTCAAGTTAAAATCAAGTTTTTGACCAGAGATTAACGCAGAATTATTTTTTACTTCGCCTGTCTTCCACTTTTTTTTGCTTCAAGAACTGGGTTTTATTTCAATGTAGAGGAAATAATCGCATTAATTTGAATTTATGCATCCAGAGCAGGAACGTCTTGGGCTGTCATCTTCTGTGGTGCTCGAACAACTGCACGTCAATGCTCTACTCGGTTGCGTAGTTCTTTTAAATGGTACTTTTTTGTCCCACAATTTCTTGCATTGCCGTCCTGAAACCCTGGTTCCCGAGTGACCCGAATTTTTCTCACCGTGTTTCTGAAGAACGCAGACAGACTTCCTTGCTAACATCCCCGGGCTGGAATTTTGGAGCGATTCAAGAAAGGAAATGAATGTTTTTTTCTGTTTTTCACAGGGAACCGTGAGGAGGAGGAAGAGGAGAGGCCGAAGAAATGCGAGGCATACTTGATGACCGGTGATAAAATTCTCAAGTATACTGCGGAATCTTCGCTGTTTCCGCGACTGAAGCCACCGCCTCGATTGACGGGTTCTAGCAAAAGCAAAGGCGAAGAGGAAGAGAAGGTTGGACTTTTTTTTTTTTTACGCATCACTGGTGGACTCTCCCTCGGCAACAATCTTGTGGTTGAGGATTTTCTGTCTTGAACGAATTTATTTTTGGTCCCATGTTAAAGGGATTCTCTTCAACGAAATTCTCCCTACGACTAATTCTTTTCGGGACCCTTGAATTTCGTTGTTGAGGGAGTCCACCTGTATTTTTAATTTTTTTTTTAGCGAGGAAACGGTCATTGAAAAACCCTTTCATCTGAATAATTTGACGGTTCAAAATTTAAATTTTTGCTGTGCTTGAATAAATACGGTGAAATTCCGTTGCAACGATTCTCGTTATAACGCATCTTCCATTAGAATAATTTTTTTTCTTCGTCCCAGGAATTTCCTCGAAGCAATCATGTTATGAAAATTGTGCTCTACCCATTTTCTCCTGTAATCTCAGTATAATGGTATTATAGCCCTGATTTTGTAAATTGGCCATGCTCATAAGGATTATTTCATAATGCGTAGAAGGATGGAAAAAATCGAACTTCAGCAGCGTTAAAAGTTCATAAAATAAAGGAATGTTTTCGAAAGTGAAATTTAAGCGTTGCAGAAAAGACAATTTTTTTATATTTTGTTAGGATCTCCTCTGCTTCATTTAAGATTTTACCTACCTCTCATTTTTAATCAACAGTGTGCTAGAAATTATATTCCTAATTTTAAAGAGAGTATAGGAGGGCTCAAATAAATGACATTTGAAGAAAGAACATTTTATTTGTCTACTTTTTGTCATTTTATTTTTCAAGAAGCTCAGCACGTTACAGTATTAAAAAATTTGAAGCAAATCAGGTTCAATATAAAGGGAAATTACGTGACAATTTTCTTTTCAATTTAATCATAGAAGAGTCAGAAATCATGACAAGATTTCCATCTTTTGTTGCAGAAGCACTTCACAGCATTAATTTCCCATTTCTCAAAAAAAAAAAAAAAATGTCAGTCCCTAGTGTGTTTTGAACCATGAGTCTCGGTAGAAGTTTTTTTTTTCAAGGTCCCTGAGGGTTTGTTGTAGCGAGTTTTTACCGTATTAAATTCATGGATTTTCAAATGGTGACTTATTCGCGTTGAGACATTTTCCACAACAACAACAAAATCTGTTGGTTAAAAGACGAAATCGAAACAGTTGATAGATGGTGAAGAGCGAAGAAAGGACGTCGGAGAAGACCCTGATACCGCCGGTGGAAATTCATCATCACCACAGTCTCCCGTCTCGTCATCATCATCGTCGTCATCTTCATCCTCGTCATCTTCCTCAGCCGTCGCCGGAAACGCGGACCACGGGATATTATCCGAGAGCTCCGCGGGTGGCGGCAAAACGTCGCCGCTTTCCACCCCTGCGCGGACTTGCGGCACGATCCTCGCCGAGGAGCACAAGATCGTTTTATCCGTCGCCGGACCGGCGTCCATGACGACCACTCCGACGCCAGGCAGTCACGAACCCGCCTGTCCGTCGTCTTCCGTGTCGTCGAATGTTTCTTCCACGTCTGCCTCATCGTCGTCGTCTGGTTCTCCGTGTAAGGACATGGACAGTCGTCGCGGAAGACAAAAGGGCGGAGGAGGAGAAGGTGCTGGGCAACTGCAGAATTACGGGGAACTCGTGAACGAAGACGAAGATGAGGTGCACGATGAAGAAGGAGAAGAAGATTTGGATTGTGTGGATGAAAAATCGAAAGCCGCCGCCGCCGCCTTGCCGCGGTTTCCGTTGGTGGCAGAAGATGTGGGTCCAAAGACTCCTGCGGCGGCGACGAATCTCTCGGAAGGTGATAAAGGGGCGGCTGCTCGTCTGGCGAAGCGACACTTTGCCCTGGAGGGGTTTCATCCTCGGGATGTGCTTCAACATTTGACCAAAGAGTGAGGTTCCTTCCAAAAGAAAATGGAAAAAATAAAATTGGTGCCGATTACTTGGGAATTGCTTAGTTTTTAGGAATTATTTAGTCCCCATTTGTTTTTCGAAAGAAAACGAAGTCAAGGAAGTATTTTTAACGAATGGGGTTCAATTTTTTGGGGAATTTTAAAGATTGAGATTCTTCGGAAAATTTTTCATGAAGTTATTTTGAAGTTTCTCGCACTTTTCGATGAGTTCAATTCATATTTCTTCGTCGAAAAAATAAGACACTTGACAAATCCGTTCGGAGGAACAAAGTTATCGTGATATTTCCTTTTCATTTTCTTGAAAAATTCACGTTTGACAGAAGATTGAGGTTCTTTGGAAATTTTTCTTGAGCTTAATTCCAAGTTCCAGCGATTTTTCGAGAAGTTCGAATGACATTTCTTGTCGAAAAATTAAACAGAATTCGATGTGTTCGTTGATTTCGTGGAAGTCCTTCAAGTATTTGCTGCTCCAGAAATGAAGACAAAGGAAATTTATGAGAAAGTGTCGCCTTAGGTTTGGGTTTTTATCTAGGAAAGTCTTGAAATTATCTCGTTATTCGAGATACATTTTGGAATTGAAGTTTTTCTTGTGAATGTTTCGAAGAGAGATTCTGTACAGTACTTGAATTATGTTTTAGGGTTTGTTACCTCGCTTTTTATTGGGTTCCTCATGGGTTTTCCGGAATTTTTCAAAATACTGTATATAAATTCTACTTGAATGTAAAAAGAAAGTCGATGGAAATTCCCCGGACTGGGAATTTATTTTTTTTCGAATTTCTTCTGAAAAAATTTTCTTGACAGAACATAGTGTCATCGAAAATTTATAATTCAAAGAATGCCTCTTTTCAAAGTACATGTACCTTTCAAAACTTTTTCCTTTATGCTTTGTTTTTGTATCAGATTTTGTTTCTTGGATCTGCGGATGTGATTCAATTTTGTGCCAACGAGTTGAGTACCTGAATTTACCTGTAAATGTGCTTTCGGGAAATTTAACGTTGGCAAATCGAATGTCTTTCTGCGTGAACGAAGTCAAGAAAGATATTTCTACTATCTTTTTTGGACCTTGCGTAGAAAGAAACACGGGTGGATTATTTTATTACGTTACTCGAAGTCGTCGACTTCGTGATATTCTTCGTCAATATTTGGAGATTGCGTGGATTCTGTCACGTTCTATTTTGTGCTGACAGCAGGGGTTTGCACACAAAATTCGTTAGCTAAAACCCCACTTTATTTGTCATCCAATGAGTGATGAAGGTGACATCTATGGGGCTTTTCCCGAAGCAATGTGGGGTGTGTGCCATGCTTTTTGTAACGTAATTCGAGTGTTGCGCATGTTTTTGCGGGGGTCAGTTCTTTGACTTTCAATCCCGAATTCCGCCGACTATTGTTTTCAAAGTGAATAACGATTTTTGAAAAATTGAATCGCGTCATTGCAGCTTATCGGCGTCGACGTCGGCGGACGCCTTTTCCTGCTCTGTGGGCGCCGAGTTTATGCAGCTCTTCGACTTCACCGGGCTGAGCCTGGAGACGGCTTTGAGGGCGTTTCTGGGACGAGTGCCATTGGAAGGAGAGACCCAGGAACGGGAGCGGATCCTGGCCCGGTTTGCAGACCGGTTTTTCGTTTGTAGTCGCTCGGAAACCCGCAGGACGGACGCAGGAACGAGATCCGATTACGAGTGGCACAGTCGAGGTTTGGAATGATTATTATTATTATTTTTTTGGTTGAGGGTTTTTTTTGTTATTTTGAATCCCCTGAAGGTGACCTAGGAAAAATATAATTGCCGTGGGCCCTTGAGCAACGAACATTCTGACAAAAAAGTTTAATGCTCTAATCAGGGATATATTTGTTTAAAGTTATTTAGATAAGTTATAAGTTTATTAGAGTTACTGTAGGCAAGGTTGGTTTTGATTAGCTTATTTTATATTTCGTTGGGTTATTTTATTTTTATTTGGTTCGGTTATTTTATTTTTATTTGGTTCGGTTATTTTATTTTTATTTGGTTCGGTTATTTTATTTTTATTTGGGTTACTTTATTTTTGATTGGGTTATTTTATTTTAGGTTGAGTTATTTTTGGTTGGGTTATTTTATTTTCGGTTAGGTTATTTTATTTTTGGTTAGTTCAGGTTTGGTTACTGTATTTATTTTCAGTTGGGTTATTTTATTTTTGGTTAGTTCAGGTTAGGTTATTTTATTTTTGTTACAGTACAACGTTAGGTAACGTTTAGTTTATGTCAGATTAGTTCAGAGTAATTTGGTTTTCCGTTTTTTTTCAGATGCTGTGCATACGATTGTGTGCGCTATGATGGTTCTGAACACGGACCTGCACAGTGGAACGATTGCGAAGAAGCGGAAGATGACCAGCGACATCTTTGTGCAGAGTTTGCAAGGGCTGGACGACAATGGAGAGGACTTCCCTGAACAGTTGATTCGTGGCATCTACGCGTCCATCAAGGACGAGCCATTTGTGTGCCATGCTTCTCCCGCGCCGTGAGTTTTCATTGCAGAAATTTTGACAGAAATCTCTTCAAAGTTGAACTCGGAGGGATCCGCGAAAAACTTTCAACTTGAAGATATTTGAGTTGAGGAAAATATCTTTTTATTTTTGCTGGGAGCAAAAAAAAAAAAAGAAGAATCGTAGGAATGCTTAAATTGGTGAAGCGAATTGAAGCAAGGATTAGAAATTATGAATTGAGTACAGAGCAGTCTGTTTTCGGTTATGAATTGTATCAAGTTCATAATAATGCAGGTGAATCTTGTCTACAACAATATTCTTTGTGTAACGATTTTTTTTTGGTCGCATAGGGTTCTCCCGCCATGTTATGGGGGTTCTCCGCAGCGAAATTCTCTCTACAACGAATTCTTCTCTGTTCCCTTTAATTTCGTCGTAGAGACAGTCCGGCTATATTTTATTCATTTTGAATTTTTGTGAATGTAAAAATTGTAGCTGAATTTCTTGGAACATTTTCCTTTTTTTGATTTGCTGGCAGTGTATGTATCTTGGAACATTGTCCGGGAGTTAGGGCAGATTTTTCAAGTTCTGAGTTTATTCAAGTTGAATCTTTCATATGAACGGGCGACCGTGTCTCAAATCCCACTATTCGCATGTATACAGTATACAGTATGTGATTTTTTTTTTTACTAGAGATGCTGGAGCCGGTAGGGGCAATCGTGAAGAATGTGGAGATTCGTCACATCATCCGTTCCTCCAGATTCCTGCTGCGGACAAGAGCACGGAGTACAAGCGTGGCTACTTTTATCGAAAGTGTGTTCGTGACCCTGGTGGGGGTTCGAGTGAGTCTCTGGGAAGGGGGGGTTCTTCATGTTGTGTTCATTTTAATTTATGTGCATCTAAATTTCCAATTGAAAAATTTTCTAAATTCGATAAGAAAAGCATAGTTTTACATCTTCTTGTCTTTTCCATTTAAGAAATTCAGAAAGTTATAAAGGCGTAGTTTAAAGTTGTTCAACTCATGCCTTAACCAAATACAACGAACACTTCCAGGAGAAAACCAATGAGAAGGACTAGTTCCATTTCATGCGAAACAATATTAAATTCTCAATTTTCTGCTGAAACATGCACAAATTTTATGGTATGTTGTGGTCTTTTGGTGAGTGGCTGGAACCAATCACATAAATTACATTTTAATTTCAAGGGAGAATGCGTTAAACATGAAGAAATCTCTGCAAAACAAAAATAACTCCCCCAGGAACGGATTAGTTTCGTGATTCTGGCCCCACTTTATTGAGGGTATACCAGACGGATCTCAAAAATATTATTCTTTCTGAACACTAAATTCTGGGTTCCCCAAGATACGGCCCGTGGAGCATTCCTGTCTGGCCCGTGACAGTCGCCCCACCAGCCACCACGCACTTTGATTTTCAGAACCTACAGGTCAATCCAACTCCCAAAAATAAATTTCTAGAAATTCTCGGGAATCACTTTTGTCATTTTCAGTGCACTCTAGCTTGCATTGCGAAACAAATTGCAGAAAGAGCACCTTTTTTTGAACCGTCCTCCTAAAATAAGAAAAAACCATTAATTTTTTTTCTTGTGGCCCGCAAAGACTATTCTCCTTGCCATGTGCCCCACCACCAATTTTGACTTGGGAACAGTCATGGGTCCATTGGATCCCAGACAAAGGAATTAAATTGTGCAGCCATCAGAATGCAAGTTTTGAATAAGAACTTAAACTCTTTTCAGAGGAGTTCATTCTCATTGCTCAGATCATCAATTGGCTGTTAATTCAATGGTTTTAATGGCTGAGTCAATTGTAAGATTGGTTGGTTAGCTCAGAATATTGAATGAGGTAATTAAAGTTAAAAGGCCCTTTAACACTGGGTTCTTGCTTCTCCTCTCAAAGACAAATGAAGGCTTTTTATACCCCGGGTGCTTGGACTGGGTCAGGAAGAAATCAGGTGATTTCTTCCTGGCTCAGGATTGGCCGATTTTAGGAAAATCAAAGAAGTGATGACCACTTCTTGTCCTTGAGTGAGGCTCAGTGAGTCTTGCAAAAACAGGATTTTGGTGAGGCTCACTGGCCTCAAGATCCAACAAGTTTTCTGGGCCAGTTTTGGCCAGATGCAGGAGCTGCGCCGCTTCAGGACGCAACAGGTACCACTGGATCAATTCCTTGTTGAGAGATTTCTTCATGCAGTACACAACCGAGCTTGATGCAGTCACGTTTTAATGCTGATGAAAAAAAAGAAAACGGAGCGATGACATGTCTAAATTGACGTCGTCACCTCATAATTTTTTTTTCTTCTCCTCAAAATTACACAACATAGCGGGACTCGGAAGACGACGATGGCGGCTGTGGTACGGAGTGATCAGGGACCTGGTGCTTCTTTTGTTTCGGGACGCCAGTGTGGTTGTGTCGTCGCAAAGTAATCGCGGCAACGAAGCTGAGCGAAACAACAACGACAGCAACGGCAGCAAGACCAGCAACGAAGGCAGGAGGAGAGGCGGTAAGAAGTCGGCAGCTCCGGACGCCGTGGTGCCCTTGCATCACGGCCTGGCTTCTGTCGCCACCGACTACGTGAAGCGGCGCCACGTGTTCCGCCTGGTCACGCCGGACCAGGCGGAATACCTCTTTCTGCCGGGGTAATGATTGTTTTTCTGCGTTGCGTTACGCTGTCCGATATATTTGCGGAATACAGTAAACTATTATTATTGATATTTTCGACAAACTTTTGGGGACTTCAGAAAAAGTGTTTTATACTGAATCGCTGAACAAAAGATCCACTTGAAAAAAAGTTCGCATAACTAACATTTTATTGGGATTAACGTGACTAGCATTATGAAATTTATAAGGTTTTCGATGACTTTGAACTGGAACTTGAAATTTTTTGCAGAAAAAGTAAAAAAAAATTTTAGTGAAAAAAATATGACTCGAATTTAAAAAATTATTTCGCCTAACAACATTTTTGGTCCAGAAAATAGCGCAAATTTAAGAAGGTATTAACGGGAACTCAAAAATGTTTCGAAATAAATCCATATAACGAAGACTTCATTGGGGAAAATGTCACTCGAATTCAGAAATTATTTCGCCTGAAAAAATTGCTGTCTCAAAAACTTCGCGAATTTTATCCAGGTTTGAACTGGAACTAAAATATGTTGAAAAAAAAGTCCACGTGATGATCATTTTTATTGGAAAAAATGTGACACGAATTGCGGAATTATTTCGTGTAACTAAATTTTTTGCCCAGAAAAGGCGCAAGAATGAACGGAAACTCAAAAATTTTTTGAAAAATTCATATAACGAACATTTTTAGTGCGAAAAACGTGATTTAAATTGCAAAATTATTTCGCGTAAAAAGAAAAAAAGGTTTGGCCAACAAAATTTGCAAATTTGAATAAGCTTTGAACTGGAACTTGAGAATTGCTTTAAAAAAATCAATGCAGAATATAAAAGAAAACGTTGTTTACATCTTCTTGTCATAAAATAGAAAAAAACAATTTTCTAGAATTATCATAAAAATATTACTTCAACTTCATGCTAAGCAGTGTTGAGTTCACAATTTTTTTTTTTCTGGTATTGTAAAAAGAGGTTTTTTTCTTCTTTTTTCTTCCAGTGATGAAAGAGAAATGATGTCCTGGGTGGAGACCATCAACTGGGTCTGCGCCAAGCTGTCGGCACCCGCGTTGAGCGGGTCAGTGGGCAGTTGTAGTAGCAGCAGCGTCGCTGCCAAGCAGCGCCAATTCATGCGTCCCCTTCTGCCGTCTGCCGTGACGAGGTATCCGTTGCCCGATCAGCGCCGCTACGTGGCCAGCCGCCTCCGGGAGCTGGAAGACGAGTTGGCGGCTGTCGGAGCGACGCAGATGCAGAACAACAAGCGGCAGCGGGGCGTCGTTGCGGAGAAAATGGCGTTTCTCTCGTCAGAGGTTTGATTTGGTTTTTTTCAAATCGAAATTCCTCGTATATTTTCCGCCCACGTTTAAATTACAGTCAACTGCCACTCCTGCGTAGCGATGACGTAAATTTCCGTGGAACAAATCTCTATCCGTTGTGTTCTTGAGGAAAACCTTGATTTCGTGTAAACTCACTTGGTGCCGCAGAAGATGTCTTGTCCTGAATAATAAATGGGCAATATATCAAATAAATTGGGCTTTTTGCTATGACTATCATCAGGTCATTATTGAGAAGCCCATGTTCAGGATCATTTTAAAAATTGTATTTCCGAATTTACATGTGGTTCGTTGGACATCCTCCACTGTAAAGAATCAAAAGAAATTGTTGTAACGACATTCCACTGTAGACAAAATTCGTTGAAACGCAATTAGTAAGTTATTCTGGCTATTGGACAGGTACAAAGAAGCAAAATTCGTTTCAAGCATGAATTCGTTTGAGATTATTCCTAACAAGATTATTTTGGGAATAAAAATTCGTTGAAACGCTATTATACCGAGTAATATTGTGGCTGTTGAACGGGACCGCTGAAGAAAATTTATTATGAACACGAATTCGTTGTGGGATTTTTTGTAACGAGATTCTAATGTACAGTATTTATTCTAGATTTGTTGAGGTTATTTTTGTCCCGGTAGTGATTCCAGCGACATCTGTTTGAAATTTTTGAAAGCCAGGTCCGTCGTCACGATGAAGATGCAGTTATTTCTCGGTGAGGTTCCTTTATTCTCATGATTTCCAATTATTGTAGGTCAATCGGTATCGGACGTACGACGCCCTTCTCCGGAAACGGTCGAGCACTTCGGAAGCCAACGATTCGTCCGTAGTGAGCGACGGCAGCGTCGGGGACGGTGACGGCGTCGCAAACGACGTCACACGAACCGACTACATGTACGAAACCTCGGTATTCGTAGACAAGGCGCAGCTGTGAAGAAGAAGAATTGGTAGGCGGAAAAAAAAAGGAAACGAATCCTCCGTTTTTCTCTTCTCGGCGATAGAAGACTCAGTATTTGTCTCGAGTGTGTTATTCGCGTGTTGGACAAATGTTTCGTTCGGGGTAATGATTTTTCGGGGTTTCTGCTTTCGGTTACTGCCTCTTGTCAATTCTTTTGGGGGAGCGGGGGCGTTGAGAAAGTTTAGGCCTAGTTTTTGGTCAGGGCTTTTTTTTTTTTTTTGCATGAAGAATTTTTTTGAGGCAGTGATTGAAAGAAGAACCCAGGGTTTTTTGTTGTTTCTCGACGCGGTTCTTCCGACGGATCGAAAGGGGCCTTGTTCTCCATATTTTATCTCATTTTCCTGCGTGCCTGAAGAGAAAAATTCTCGGAAAGTCGGTGTTGTCGTGATTGGTACAATTGTTCCATTGAGGTTATAATTTTTTTTTTGTGGTCTGTGTGATCCTTCCGTTGGAAGAGAGAATCTAAAGACGAATGATAACAGAACAATGAGGGAACAAAGTGGAAAAAGCAGCAATGTTGCAGTATTGGTCAATTTTTGGAATTGTTGAGCAGGCGGGTTTAATTGTTTTTCTCTCGTTTTATTCTTCAGAAGTTCTTTTTCAACTTCCGGAGAAGTGTTTTTATTGTGTGCGTGTTTTCTCGTTTCCAATGGGTCCTAAAAAACCTGGTGAGTACTATTTTTTTTTACTCAAACATTGTATCTGATGTCTGAAAAAGATTTGCCATCTAGACGTTGTTTTCATTTTGATGAATTTTCATGCTATGTCCTTTTGCTGTGGGTAGATATCGTTGGCAGTTTAATTGCGTTTTAATTATATTTCGGATCATTCTATCTTATTTTGAGTTTTATCCAAGAATGAGTTTCTAACGTTTACTGAAAATAATCACTTCAATAAAGCATTTGCACTGAGTCATGTGGTTTTAAACCATATCATACTTCCTTTTGACTTTCCATCGCTATAAATTTTGTCGTTGAAATGGCATTTTTTCATGAAGTACTGTGTCATTGTGATTTCCTTCCGCATCTGAATTTATCCTGTGCTTGGATAAGCATTAATGCGGTGGGATAAAACGGATGATTGAAGTTTGGTTGGAATTTCCATATTATTACGATTAGCGGTTTTTGTTGATTCAGACTTCGAGCGATGCATTGGATCCCTGCATAACGGAGATGATCGATTCCTCGCTGGGTTTTCTTTATGTGAAACGCGTTTTGCCTTTGTAATTTATTTTATTGGTTCCAACCAGTCTCCGGAAGTCCGTGTAATGTATCTTAATTTCCTGAAAATAATGGTCAGGAAAGAATAGGACTAATGGTAGGACTAGATTTCGTTGACACACGATTTGTGCATTTCTTTCAGCATAAAATTGTGAAGTGGATAATTTTGAGCGTGAAATTGAAGTAATCCTAACGACTAAGGCTCATGACTTCTGAATTTCCCCAATTTTGAAGCCAAGAAAATATAAAAATGCTTTTTTCGTATATTTTTTCCTGAATCCTGGGAAATTCCTATGTTTTATTGAAAAACTTGTTGAATTGCGCATTGTTTGGGCCAGAAAATATCGTTATGTAAAATTATTTCGTCATCTCATTATTTCGTGATTTAGTCATGCTTTTCCTCCCTCTAAATATTCGGAATGCGGATTTTTCTTCATGCAGGAATCACTGTGCTAGTTTTAATAACATTTTCGATTATGAGTCAAGTATTTGTTGAAAATTCTAGCTTTTTTGTCGAGTTTTCTACTTCAAGGCTTACTTTTATCATCCTGTGAAAGAATGTACGAAATTCTACGTATCGGATTTCTAGTTAACGTTCTAAGAATACAGTATATAGAAGATCATTCCTGCATGTGTGTCACTCAAGTTGACGAGGTTTGTTTCGATTTTCTGAGAACTTGCGAAACTGTTCGTTTTTTCTTACGCAATTCCTTCTTGATTTACTCGAATTGAAATATTGTTCAGTATTTGAATAGCTTTTCGTGATTTGTGTGTGAAAATTCGTGTCTTGGAGTATCAGAGGTTTTCGGAAACCGCTGGAAAATTCAGCAACCTTCTCGAGATTAAATTGTTGATTGAATTTTCTCTGTTTTTTTTTTTTTTTTGCAGCACCTGCGCCGGCAGCTGCTGCGAAACCGGACAAGAAGGCTGGAGGAGACACGAAGAAAGAGCCGAAAGAAGTGAAGAGCAAGAAGGAAGACGCGACGAAGAAGAAGAAAGATGCTCCGAAAGTTCCCAAGGCTGCAGGTGCTGCGAAACAACCCGCAGCAAAAGCATCCAAGGTTTATTTTTTTTGTCTTATGCCAAAATTGAAATATGCATTTAGACTCTTTTTTTTTGCTCTTTATGAAATTTCGATTGGCAGAATATTTGCGAGGATTTTTTCAGTCACCGGAACTGGAGTAATCGTCATAAATTGTTCATCGAAATCGTGGAATCGCTTTTTGAGATTGAAATCATTTTAATGGTTTTTTTTTTTCAAGCGTCGAAGTTGAATTTTTTTCATTTGCCACATTAAACTCTGTATTCACACTATTTTGCTTTTCATGAAATTATACTGCGTCGATTGGCAGAATATTTGCGAAGCTCTTTCAGTGATGGAGTAATCGAAACAAATTGCTGATCAAAAGCCTGAAAGCGATTGTTGAAATTGTATTGATTTTTTTTCAAGTTTTTTTTTCGGGCATCCAAGGTCTATTTTTTTGTAATTGCCAAATTAAACTGCATTTTCCCTTTTTTGCGCTTGATGAAATCATGCTGCGTCGATTGGCAGAATATCCGCAAGGCTTTTTTTTTCAGTCCTTGTGACTGGAGAAATCTTCACAAATCGCTGATAAAAATTCTGAAAGCAATCGTTAAAATTGAAGGTGGTTTTTTTACAAGTATTCAAGGTATATTTTTGTCATTTGCCAGATTAAACTAATACAGTATATTATATGTTAAATCACATTTTTATGCGTTTTGTGTTTCTTATTTTTATGTTGCAGGAGGGCAAGGGCAAAAAGGTGGCCAAGGCCGTGCAAAAGGCCAAGCGTGTGCAGATGAAAGTCATCAAGGGTCCCAATGGCACGCGAACCCGTAAGGTGCGAACCAAGTCCCGGTTCTACCGCCCGAAAACCCTTTCCCTGCGGCGGCAACCCAAGTACCCGAAAAGGTCGCACCCGCAACGCAATCGGTTGGACGCGTGGAACATCATCAAACACCCGCTGACGACGGAGTCGGCCATGAAGAAGATTGAGGACAACAACACTCTCGTGTTCATCACGCATCTCCGGGCCAACAAGCACCACATTCGTCTGGCCGTGAAGAAACTCTACGAGATCGAAGTGGCCAAAGTGAACACGCTCATCAGGTGAAGAGAAAAAACAAAAATTACTTGTGTGCGTGTGTGACAAGTCCTTTGGTTTCCTGTGAAACTTTTACTGAAGTGCGAGCATTGAAAGAAGCAGGAGCCATTTTTTCAAGTCTTGGGCAGTATTAGTGATCATGGGATATTTTTGTTCACGCATTTTGTCCGTCGATTTTGTTGGTCAGATGAAGATCAACATAGGTTTGAGGCAATAATCTGATTATTCCGTGACAAAGTTTTCAAATTTTTGAAAAAAACTCACCCACCCAAGTTGGAGTGGGTGAGAAGACAGGGTGCGAAATGGATGTAGGAAAATTTCAGACAGAAATTAAACCAGACAAAAACATGTTGAGATAGAGCAATTTCCGGGAATGTGCAATTAGAGACCGGAACATGTTGGAAAAATTTCTGATGCAAATTTGCGACTAATTTAATTTCCAGTATTCTAGTTTTTAGAATATATGTAGATTGTAGAGTATTATAAACCTGAATATTGTAAAGGGCACACTCTTTCTTGTAAAGAAAAGTATGTGTTTCCTATGAAAATAATGGAAGATTTTTTTCGTTGGGTGTATGAGAAAACCCATATTATTGCTTCCATTTATCTCTTGATCCATCTTGAACAATTTTACCCCATAGGTTGTGATAAAGAATGTTGGGGAAAAATTGGAGGTGAAGTATTTAACATTTGACTCTCTAATTTTTCCTGTCTCAAATTGGCCCTGTCTCAAATTGACCCTGTCTCAAACTGACCCTGTATCAAATTAATCCTGTTTCTGATTGACCCTGTCTCCAATTGACCCTATCACCAATTGATCCAGTCTCCAATTGATCCAGTCTCAAAATGAGCGTGTCTCAAATTGACCCTGTCTCAAAATGGCCCTGTCTCAAACTGACCCTGTATCAAATTAATCCTGTTTCTAATTTACCCTGTCTCAAACTGACCCTGTATCAAATTAATCCTGTTCCTAATTTACCCTGTCTCAAACTGACTTTGTCTCCAATTGATGCAGTCTCAAAATGACCCTGTCTCAAATTGACCCCATCTCAAAATGGCCCTGTCTTAAACTGACCCTGTATCAAATTAATCCTGTTTCTAATTGACCCTGTCTCAAACTGACCCAGTCTCCAATTGATCCAGTCTCAAAATGACCCTGTATCAAATTGTTTGTATCCAGGGGCAGACCTATGTACCCTGCTACTGCAAAAAAATGAGGTTCGCCAGCTACTCTCGATCAATTTAATGCATTTGTATTGCTCCTTGCTTTTTATTGTTTTTGTTGAACTTGACAAGGTTTTTCAATCTTTTTTTCTTCTTCATTTTCAGGCCTGACGGCAAGAAGAAGGCATATGTTCGCCTCGCAGCGCATTACGATGCCCTGGACATCGCCAACAAGATCGGCATCATATGATTTCTTTGTTGTTTGGCAACAAGTTACTAAAGATCGCCTGACGGTTAAATTTACTGCATCGTGTCTCCAAATTATTTTTCACTCTTAAAAGCGTGTCGTCGCTGTTCGACTGTTTAATGCGCATTTTTTATTTATTTAGGCGGTGTATGGATTCCTCTTTTTTGTTCGTTTTATTTTTAAACTTCGGATGGTTTTGAATGGGTCCATGATGAAGGAAGACAAACGGGAACATGGCTGTTGCTACGGACAGGTGAGATTGAAACGCGTTTTTTCATTATTTTTCGAATTTTCTGTATAGCAAGCAGTGGACAATATTACTGAGAAATTTGCGGTCAATTTCCAGCAAATGTGTGTTGATTTATGTACAAATTTAAATCATACCAAGGGGTGGAAATTTGATGCTCAGTGATTTCATGTGCAGTATAACGAAAGATCCTCGTTTTAATTGGGCGAAACATGACTCACATTGAGAAATTATTTCACCTAGCGAAATATTTTGGTCAAGAATGTTTTGAAATTAAACTTTAGAATTTTTTCACATGAAAAAAAAAATTAAATCTTTCTGACTTCACAGTTTAGGAGGTTGAGAAAGAATTCAAGTTTTGAGCGAGACTTGCCAAGATTACTTCAATTTTACGCTGGACAATATTAAAGTCACGATTTTCTGCTGAAAAAAATACCCACATTTTATGGTTTCTCGCGGACTTCGGATGAATTTTGATGATTTCTCGTGAAATGAATTTCAGGTTTCGTGTTGCTGCGGAGCTCAACCGTCTCGACTGTGCTGCAAGTTCTGTCCTCCGATCTACTTATCCGTGTCCACCAGACTCATGTACTGTCTGATGCTGTTCCTGTCGACGGCTGTGATGTGTCTGATGCTTCTGCCGCAATTGTCGGATTTTCTAAAAAGTGAGGTGTGTGGAATTTAAAATCAATATTTGTCTCAAGATATGAACCCGCTTGTTCAACGCAACTTGTGAAACATTCCTCACAGCCACTGCGTGTCAAACCCTCAAGTTATTTGTCAAACCACATTTTGGGAAAGTCTAAACTTTTAAACACTTTAGTTACTTTAGTGCCACGCCTCCTTGAGTAAGATGTACTCTGGGGTTTTTAGTAAAAAAATTTTGATGAAATTGTATCCCCAGGTAAGAGACACGCCCCATTTTAGTAAATGTAAAACCACAATATTTCAAAGAGTAAGAATGCCAAAATTGTTGACTAATTTTTAAGTGTTTCCATTGTTATCCCAAATTGGCAAAAGAATAAATTTAAGACACTTTTGTGAGGAAAGAAACGTCTTTCTTTCTTGAACAATTAATCTAGAATCTAAGCTTTCCAGGACAACTTTTTGTCAAGAAGGTTTCAAGTCTTTATGGCCAGGGTAAAAGTGAAACTAGACTTTTCTTGATAAGTGAATACGTATATTTATCTGAGCCTCAGCAAACAAGAGTCAAACCAGCAATGAATGCTGACACATACACTTCGCGGTACTTTTATAGATTCGGAATAAACCAGATGCGCTTGCGCAACCAAAACGGGGCAACAGAAAGGGGGCCGGGCAAATGACCAGGAACCAGACAGTGCATTTAGAACATGTGGTGTCCTTGTCTGCTTTGGGGCAGCAAGTTGCTAAGCAGATATTGCGAATACAGAGAGCAGTATTATTCACATGACACAGGACACACTGTAAGGTATTTCTTTTGGTGACACCATTGAAATACTTTTTTTTTCAGCTTGGTCCAAACTTTCAATAACTTTTTGACAAATTTTTTGAGGAAGAGGTTGCTTGAGTCAAGAATGCAGTTGAAGAAAATCAGTCACACAATCATCCTTATCCTTATTCCTTTAGTTTGGAAAAAATATATCTACAGTACGTTATTTTGTCTTGTCATCAATCCTTAGCTGTAAAACTTTGGCTTTAACCTGAAAGTTTGCACTTGTCTTCATCATGTCTGCTGGAAAAAAAGGGAAAATCTTAGTGAAAGTACAAGAGCTTTTAACATCATGATGGAAATTACTAATTTTTTAAGAAACATTTTTAAATAGTTCTGCATGAATAAAAAATATTTCTAAAACATTTGTCTTGACAAACTTTCAGCACACTGTGAAATGAGTGTAAAACTCATGCTGTAACAAAAAATTTTCTTTTTCTCTTCATCCTGTGTACTGCAAAAAAATGTCTAAAAATTTCGAAAAAGATTAGAAGCTTCAAACATGATGTTGGAAATCATTACTCATTTTACAACATTTTCAGCAACCCAAGGAATTATTTTTTCCTGCGCAGAACCGAGAAAACTCTTGTATGTTTTTTCCTCATGGAAGTCTGAGGCAACATGCAAATTTTATGAATTTGGGGAACGCATGAAAAACATTAAAATAGCTGACTGAGCTTCTTGAGGATCGTTGAAATTAATCAGTAAAAATTGAAATTGATCTAAAAATTGAAATAAATATGAAATTTGAAATAAATCCGTAAAAATTGAAATAAATCTGTAAAAATGGAAATTAATCTGTAAAAATTGAAACAAATCTAAAAATTGAAATTAATCTGTGAAAAATGAAATAAATCTGTGAAAAATGAAATAAATCTGTAAAATTGAAGTAAATCTAAAAATTGAAATTAATCTGTGAAAAATGAAATAAATCTGTAAAATTGAAGTAAATCTAAAAATTGAAATAAATCTAAAAATTGAAATATATCTAAAGATTGAAATAAATCTAAAAATTTAAATAAATCTAAAAATATAAATAAATCTAAAGATTTAAATGAATCTAAAAATTTAAATGAATCTAAAAATATAAATGAATCTAAAAATTTAAATGAATCTAAAAATTAAAATAAATCTAAAAATTTAAATAAATCAAAGAATTGAAATTAATCTGTGAGAATTGAAATTAATCTATAAGAATTGAAATCAATCTGTAAAAATTGGAATAAATCTGTAAAAATTGAAATTAATCTGTAAACTATACAGTTCTTCAAGAATTTTATTTTTGTTTTCTTCTCATTCCTGCTCTTCATATACTTACAGTTGCCAGATGTGGTCAATATTTGCGCTAGGGTCGGCGCTGGCGAGGACTGCCAAAACCTCCGTGGATACGCTGCAGTGTACAAGCTCACTTTGACGTCTTGTGTCCTTCATGCCGTCTTGGGTTTGGCAACTATTGGCGTAAAGTCAAGTGATTCCTGCAGAGCTAAATTGCACAATGGATTCTGGCTGTTCAAATTTGGCGCCTTTGGTGCTATGTGCTATGGTGTTTATGTGTTGCCGCTGATGCAGATGGAAACTTTTGTTGAAGGTGAGGTCGTGGTCATTTATTTGCAATAAAGTAATCTTATATTTCTACAAAAATTCGTTCAACGAATATTTCATTAAAAAAATGTTCCTCGTTCTCAGCAGTTTCATCACAAGAATCTGTATTCAGTTCATTTTTATTTTGCATTTTCGTCATGGGTTTTAATAATTCTCGTGCCTTTCTGGCCCTGACTTGGAATTTCTGTATTTTTTAAAATTCAAGTGTGGATTAACTACTATTACTACGAATATTGTTCTAACGAGTTTTTTTATTCTAAAAATTGTTTTCTGGGTCCCAGCATTTTCTTCATAGGAATCTGTACTCAGTAATTTTTTTATTTTGCATTTCGTCGCTAGTTTCAGTAATTCTCGTGCCAGATTGTTGAATTCTGTGACTTGAAATATCTTTAGTTTTATTCGTTGAAAATTTTGTTTTCTGGGTCCCACCAGTTTCTTAATAGGAATCTGAATTCTGCAATATTTTATTTTGCGTTTCTTCTCAAGNCTCGTGCCAGATTGTTGAATTCTGTGACTTGAAATATCTTTAGTTTTATTCGTTGAAAATTTTGTTTTCTGGGTCCCACCAGTTTCTTAATAGGAATCTGAATTCTGCAATATTTTATTTTGCGTTTCTTCTCAAGTTACAGTAATCCTTGTCTGTCTGTCTGTCTTGAATCCAATGACTTGACCTATCTGTATTTTATTTCCATTTCAAGTGTGGATGTTCATCCCCTAGCGTCCTCCGCATTATATGCAGTAGCACGTTCACTAAAAGGAGCACTACAAAGAGCTGTTTAAACGGCTCGGGCTCCACTTGGCGTCCACAACGCCACTTAAAACGACGCCTTAGCCATTCGTGTTGGCTGAAATCTTGAATATTTTGCAGTATTTTGTTGTAGGTGTACAAACATTTTTATTCGAAAAATACGATTGTTTTCGTTCAGTGTTGAATTTCAATCAAGGCTTCCGAAAAGTTAAATTTTTGTTTACCGCTGTAGGTATTAGTGCATTGATGATTAATTGATGAAGTTTTCACTTTTAATTCATGGATATTACTTGAGTGTAAAGAATATTCTTCAGAAATACCGTAAAATCTTGTTGCCACAAATTCCGTTGCAACCAATTTTTTTTAGAATTTTTTAAGTTTGAAGAACTTTTTCTCAAGTCCTGAGAGCATATCCTGGTCTGATGTTGAAAAATTTTCTGGTCGTTAATGCAGAAAATCTTGGCGCAAGAAGTTTAAAATTTAACAAAATTTTCCGAAAGTTCCCAAAAGTTTTATAATATTGAAAAAAAATAATATTTTACCATTAATACTTTTTTATAATATTTAGACTGCAATAATATTTTACTGCTCCATTTTCATTTTTCTGATCTTTGATTTCTGCCAAGTTTTCCACTGGATTTTGTCTATACGTCGAATTTTCTTTATTTTCTCATGCTGATGATCAGCCCTTTCAACTCCATTCGACTACAGTGTGGGGTTTTCAAAAAATATTTTGAGCGTCAAAACTGCACAAATGGTACATGACAACTGGAATGTTTTTATTTTATTTCAAATTTGTGAAATGCACCGCATGAAGTTTTAAATACCGTATTTACTCGAGTATCACGCGCACCTTTTTTTCTCAAATTTCAGAAGGAAAAAAGGGGTGTGCGTCATAAGCGGGTACAAATGTTTCAAGAAGTTTTAGGAAGCTATGTGTGCATTATACTTGATCATAATGGAGAAATTTTGAAGAAATGTGACAAGAAAACTTATTTGTACTGAAAAAGTTGAAAATTGATCCAATTTTTGTTCAATTCATGTCTAAGGTCAAATTTTTTGAATTTATTTTCGAAATTTATAGATTCACTAAAAATTAGGGTGCGCGCCTTACTTGGGTATAAGATTTTAGCCAAATTTCCAACTGAAAAACCCCTGTGCCTGCCCTATTCCAGGTCAGGTGGTACTCAAGTAAATAGGTAGAATCCTGGTTTGATGTTGTGGTTTTTTTTGTTGTTGTTGAAGGTTTGCTCCTGACGTCGCTGGCACTTTTGTGTGCCACTGGCACGGGTTACTACTTCTTGTACGAAATGTTCGGAGAGCAGTGCGACTTCAATCGCTACGTCATCTATGCAACGTGCGCAGTCTCTGTTGTGTCCGTCATCCTGTCCTTGTTTCCCCGTTTTGGTAATTTTTGTTTTTTGTCAATTCAGACTGTGAAAATGAGTGCTGTCGAACATAGGTTTAGCAAATTCATTTTAACCTATAACGCAAACCCCAAGATGCGGATGTAATTGGTGCATCAAGAGTGTCCCATCAAGTCGAAATCATCAAGTCGAAATGTCCCTAAGTCGAGTCTCGTTTTCCCTTAGACTTACTTTATGTAATTTTTAATTGGTGTATTATCTACAAAATACTCACCATAATTCCATGAAAATGAGAATTGTCTCAATTTAAAACAGATTCCAATCAATGTATTTCAACGCAATATGGGCATTTGGGGAATTGAATACTGATACCTCTGTACAGTACATAAAAATGTTGGCATTCTCTCTGAAAAAGAGTGAAGGAAGTCCCTCTCTGCAGGAGGTTATTTTTTTAATTAGCTAAATGGATGGTAAATTGGCGAGAAAATTGTCCAAGAACTTTTCTTGCATCAATTTTAGGGTTGGAAATATCTGTTTCTTATAATTTGGCCTGAAACTTGTTTGCAAGTTTTGAACAAAATGTCCCTATGTAGAGTCAGTGTCCTCATGTCAGGCCTTTTTAATTAATTTTTTATGATGAAATAAGTGTTCCTATGTCAAATTGTCCTTAGGTCGAGGTGTCCGCATGTGGGGGTCTCACTGTATAACAAATGTTCGCCTTAATCATGTTTGCATGGGCCATTGGAAGTTTTACCAATTTGCACTATGCTGCTTAATTGTCAACTTGTGCATAATGTAAAAACCTTGAAAAAAATATATAAATGGTAATATTTTTCTACCAATAATTTTGCATTGCAGGAACGCTATGAAGCTCTAATCAAAATTAATTCAACAGGTCCCCAAGAGTTCGTTATAACGAGATTTTACGAGATTTTAGATTGTACAAGGCGCCTCTGATTCTCTCCTTCTGTGCCAATGTTTTTGTGATGGGAAAAAAAAAACTGCGTGCAATGATGTTTTTTTATCGATTTTGTTGTAGGTGGACCGAGGAGAGGCGTGTTCAAAGCAGCCGGGATTTCCGCCTACGCCTGCTACTTGACCTGGTCGGCCCTGGGGAGCGAACCCTTGGAGGGGGAAGCTGTGAAAAGCTTTCTGAACCCCGTGGAGAACACCACCAACCTGTGCTTTGTGGCGGGTTTCGAGTCCGAAGCTGTGACCAATTATGTCTTTCCCATCATGGGCATATCCGTCATGTTCTTCACTGTGGTTTACGCGAGGTAAAGTTTTCTTTTGAAAGTGAATCACTGAATAAATGGTTGAAAGAAGATGTCGTAATGGAACGGCAAAAGCGAATTTTGAAGAAAATTTTTGAGGAAAAGAGTAATGTTAGGAAAATTTGGGTGGCAGCGATATTTCCTGCAGCGACTTGAATTCTTTAAAATTATAGATTTACGTGCTGTATTTTTTATCTGAACCAGTGTTCCCCGACCTTTTTGAGCCTGCAGAACGGCTAATTTCCATAAAAAAAATTTGCGGACAGGAAAATTTCCAAATAAAATTGTCTGCGGACTGGAAAATTTCCAAATAAAATTTTCTGCGGACTGGCAAAGTCTCATAAATTTTTTTGAAGACTCAAATAAGTTTTTTTGGTTAGACTTCACGGCAGATGTTTAAAAAGTTTCCGCATTTGTGCAAAAATTAAGCCAAGAACCAATGAAGCAGCTATAGAGGAATTTCTTCACAAAATTAGAAAGGTGGGCTTGAAGAACAGTTTCTCAGAATGTAAAATTAATATAATTCATTTCAGCTGTTGAAAATTTGTCTGAAGTGTTACTATGAGAAAAGCCTACTTTTATTTTTCATCAGAAAATTTCAACTGCCATTGTCTTTCCAAAATTTCAGATAAAGATAAAAGACTTCATTGCTACTTTTGATAAATTTATTATGCTGAAGAAAATCTCATGGGGCAAAAACAAATTGTTGTACACAAGTTCTTTGTAGAGGGAGTCCACTTGTATGCAGTAATGTAAATATTATTTGCATGCATTTTTTTACAGCATTGTGAATACTGTACATTATTTACAGTACTTGAGTTCCACACAAGTGTCATGCGTTTTTGTGCAACATTTAAACTGTCTTGACAAATTTTGAGAACGCAGAAAAATGAGTGGGAAACTCTAATTGTAACAAAATAGTTGTCTCTCTACATTATGCAGTATAATGAAAAATAAGTCTGGAAAATCTGAAAAAATAGCAAACGCTGAAAACATCATAGGAGAAGTTGGAGATTCTATTGAAAAGTGTCAACACATTTTGAAATCGCATTTTGTGTGGGCCTAGGATATGCCTTATTTATAAAGCTCTGTCTACAACAATCTTGTGTACAAATATTTTCTCTGTTCAACGATTTTTTATTTTTTTTTATTTCTAGGATCCTGTCCCGCTGTTATTTCCCAAGAGATTTTGCTTTAAGAGACATGTTACGTATAAAAAGACCAGGGAACCTAAAGCAACATCTCTCTCAGCTAAACAAAAATATTTGTTTGTATATAAACACAAAAAGTCGTAACTTTTGACAGCTGAGAATCATTTGAAGAAAAGGTCATCGTTTTTGAAGCTCGTGTGCTGTGGCGGTTCTTCAAGTGAGTTGGAATCCAATGACTGAATGATGAATCCCGAGTTTTTGACTTCTACATGCCCGACTTGCTGAATGTTTCCGAAAATCAATGCCCTGAATAAAATTAAATCTAGGAAATCTGAACAATTTTATCTTGACCAAAATTTCAATAATTGCCTTAATTTCGTCTGAAAATCAAGCGATTGAGGCGGCATCTATTCCAAAATAAATTTTAGGGATCTTTTAGTTATTTTTTGACAAATAGGAAATTTAATTAATTTTGTTTTCATTGAAGTCTCTGAGAAAATTGGATCCAATAGTCGATTTTTGAGAGAAGGGAATTAAGTTGAAAGTCGGGTGATTTAACAGCAATGTTGGGTTTCTTTTAGTTTAAATACCACTCTTAATTCTGTATGATTTTCAAGAAATGTAGGATTGGCGCGACATCTATTTAGCATTGTTGAAGTCCCAGCAATGGAGGCCACGCCTTGTTGAAATAATCGACAACAGTGATGCCCAAAGATGCAGACAGAAGGGTTTTTTTTTCTCTGTCTGTATGTTGGATGTCACATTTTCCCATGGACTTCAATGGAAGCATTTTACTCACTTCTCTTGTTTGGCAAAAATTGGAGAAAAGTCTTCCAAATATTCAATTATTTTTTCCTCTAGTTCAAAATTTTCTGTGAGTCAAATTATATATCTATTATTAATTATTTAGTCAATTAATGTTGATCGTACGTAAACAGGTAGTAAAAGATTTCTTCCCGACACCAAATTTCAGTTAAACTCCGAACCAAATTATAAACTACCGGTCGAAAACTAAAACCTCTTTGCGCTCTAACCGCGCTGTAGATACATGGATTTTCAGAGTTCCAATAATGGAGGACATGCTGTGTGGAATTAATGAGGATGGTTTTGTTTCATCAATTGCAGAAGAAGGACTCGAGGAGATCAATGCAGGACAGCGGTTGTTGATTGACGAAGCAGAAGGAACCCGGTACTCGTACCCGCTGTTTCATCTTTTTTTCATTCTGGCCTCGTTTTACATCATGGCCCAATTGACGCATTGGTACAGGTCAGTCAGTGATGCTTGTAGAGGTTTTTCCTTTTTCTTTGCGTTCAAAGGCTTCAATTTTTGAATTCTGAGAAGAAAATCTTTGAAATATCCTTGCACCTAAGCTCAATTGTTTCATGGTTTATCCGCTTTTGACGTGCTCCCTGTTCTTCTCCCTCTTGATTTAAAAAAAAATGGTGTGTTTGGTGCTTGAGTACTTTACGAGGGTTGGTTCGTGAAAGATGATGAACTGCCACTTGCCGTCATTGGACAGGATGCAATTTTTTATTTTGTTCTTCAATTCTTCTTCGGTGTCTAATAAATGTTTCATCAACTAACTATTCAGCAACTGAAGGAAACAAGATAAAGACCTGATCATCTTTAAAAACCAACCCTCGTATTTACAGTGAGACCCCCACATGCGGACACCTCAACATGCGGACAATTCGAAATAGGGACACTTATTTTCCCAAAAAAAAAGCATTAAAAATGGCCCAACATGAGGACACTGATTCAACATAGGGACATTTTGTGATGAAATTGCAAATACATTTCAGGCCAAATTACAAGAAACAGATATTTTCAACAATATAACTGAAGTAAGAAAAGTTCTTGGGCATTTCTCT